TTTTTTTTTTCTCAACCAGGTATAAACAGAAAATTAACTTAAATTCACCTCTTTTATATACCTTTTTTATAATAGAACAATCAACCTAAGAAAGAACTTAAACAATGCACCTGCAATGAACTTTTTGTCATCTATGTCAATTATATATTATAATCGGTACAATTAAAAAAAAAATTTTTTTTTTTTTAAAGTGCAAAACTTTATTTTGTACAATCAATCATTAAATTGAGCTTCATCGAATTCAGATATTCTCGGCATTTTCACCATCCTGCTATGGAATCCAGCGAGTTTTGAACTCAATTCATCTGCAGTGAAAGAATGCTGTAATTAAGAAAAAATATAATAAAACAATAAATGAACTAAACTTATAAAATTTCTTACCTTTTTCTTATTCATCAACTGTGATGTCGGTGATTTAGGTGATCTCTCGTAATACTAAGTAAATAAGTAATCAGTTTATTTAATGACAATTACATTTTTATCCTTTCTCATGTGGCTTACCATACTAGGAACTGTGTCTTTAACGGGTCGATTGATGATATGGGGAAATTTTTTTACTTCCTGCCCCCAATAGTTCTCAATATCTTGAACTAAAAAAATAAAATGTTGATTATAATTTAGAATAATGTAAAGATTAAAAAACACCTTTGATATGGCTTGATGTGTCTTTCCTTTTGACAAGGACAGCATCTACTCTGGCACAATTCTGCCGTTTTCCTTCTTCAACGCAGAAGTCGATAATGTTCTGTTTGTTTATCTGGTTCCTCTTGCCTTGAATAAACGATTTAATCCAGTTGTCAATCTATTTGACAAATTTTTTTAAATGTTTAAATTATTGTTCATCTATTTATCTCAAACCTCAGCACGGCTGACTTTGAGGTGTACGAGCTCAGGCGGGGCTACAACTTGTTCGTCTTCCGATTCCTCGTCCTCGGTGTCATACAGTTCTTCCATCTGTTCGATGCCAACGTCTATAAAATTTAAAGGATTGACCGTGTATCGATAGATTATTTTCTTTGAGAGATTACCTTTGATCTTTTTTACGCAGTCGATTATGAAAGCGAGTACGGTGGTGCTGAGAGATACCGAATCGCTGCTGACAGCAATGGCAGCAAAGGAATCATGACCAGCCTCCCCCTGCTTCTCATTTCTTAAAATTAAAATCCCAATTATTTGTTGTTTTATTAATTTTAAAAATTCAATACCTGTAATAAATTGAAATCGACTGAATACCGTGCCACTTTTTCCTAGCCTTTTCACAAATTTTATTAAAAGCTCCTTTCCACGATTCCTAGGATAATACTGATAATTTTGCTTTCTTATAGAAACAAACATTTATCTTCATGCATGTACTTTTGTTAAACAATTTATGATGAGTTCAAAAGTTTCAGAAAATATATTTTTAATTGTATCTTGGCAATGGGCTTATATTGCAAGTATTTTCAAATTGATGAAACAATTAATTTAACCTGCTGAAAGTCCAAACGAAAAGCTTAAATTTTTTTACTTTATTCTTCCCCAAGTTTTCGATTAATTTAGTCCCTCTCAAAACGTGGAAGAACAAAAGTAAAAAATTTAAAAGGTCAGCTTTAATATGGTACACTCATGGATCCAAAATGAACTAAGGAGTTTCTGTCGTCATATAAAGAACAATATTTTCCTTAGTAACATCCCTGAGCCTCTTCTCAATCGCGAGGTTTGTGCAATTTAATTTTTTGAAAAATTAATCCATTTATGTTTAGTGGTCTAATTGACCAAATTACTTCTTTCAATTAATTATTCTTTTTATGTAAGGTCTTGGTTGAGATGAAAAAGTTAGTATCACGAGCTAGACTCGAACCCACGACCTTCGGCACAATACACCGCTGCTCTTAAGATATGACATTTTGAAAAATGTTCAGATATTCATATTTTGGGATAGCCAAGCAATGTCAAAAGGATTTCGGTTTAACTTCAGTAACTAATCTGTTCTGGGAATAATTTAAAAAGTTGTAACAAGTCTGTGAAGTGATGAACGTTAAGCTTGGTCTTTTTTGATAATTTTGGTCTGCCCATTTTCGCTGTTTTGACAATTTAGGGTCAGTACCAAATATCCTGTTAGATCTCTGTTGACATGGAAATCTCATAAAATCACCCCATAAATCATTATAATAAATAAAAAAAAGTTCAACTGTAGAGCAAAACAAAGCATTTATTAAAAACAAAAAACAGATTTAAGACAAAATTGTAACGCTTACAAAATGTACCGCAGAGGGTTTAAGTGACAGGCACTCGACAGCTGAAATGTCACAGTGAGCTGACACTGCTTCGTTGAAAATGTCAGTTTCGGAACAAACAACTGTAACTTCTTTGATCAAATTCATTATGTACACTAAAAGGAAATCACAAACGAGGATAAAATTTTATGTATTTTAACACGGGATACATTATTTGTAATCAAACTCTACAGAAAAAAATTTAAGGGTTTCTGACATATTTGACTTTCAATGTATTTTTCAGCTTTTTAGGCATCTGCCTCACATGCTTAGATTGTAAGTCTGTAATCTGAAGGTTTCAACTTTGATAAATCGAAACTGGCAAAAACTCAAATATCGACATCAATTGACCTCAGGCATCTCTTAGTCAGTGGTCAAGTTTTCTCTGTTGCATGATGTCATACAGAACAATTGTTCACAAGCACCAACATTCATTGATAAAATAAACAAAGAAAATTCATGTTATGTACAAAATTGCATATATTACAAAAATACAATGCTTGTTGCAATTATATCTTAGCTTCCCAGTCGTTTTAATCTCATCAATAGTTCAACCACTACAATCAAACTAGACGACAATATAATATTGATTTTTCTACAACTATGAACAACAAGTTCAAGTTTCAACAAATTAAATCATTTAGCACAATATTATTTGAAAGCTGTCCAAAACCTGTGATCGTTGGTGTCTGAGAATGCAAATTGTTTGTTGTCAAAGTGTTTATTTAGTTTGCTTGTGTATGTGGTAGTGTATATAGTGGGATATAGTGTGTATATATAGGGAGAGGAGAAAAAGAGAGTGAGGGGTGCAAAAGAGGAAAGAGAGAGAGAGAGAGAGAGAGAGAGAGAGAGAGAGAGTGAGAGAGAGAGAGAGAGAGAGAGAGAGAGAGAGAAAATACAATAATTATTGGACCTGAATCAGTGTTAGATATTTTTTAAATAAAATGAAATTATTTTATATTACAAATCTAACAAAAATAGCAGTAATAATGATTTTGAACTATTTACAAGAACAATCGTTTAAAAATTTTTATTAGTTATTTGGACAGGCTTACATTTTGTATATGTAATTAATTTCATTTATTCTCTTTGTTTGCTGTGGTTTTCAGTAAAAAAAGCAAAATAAACTATTTGGCAGGCATAATCACATGTAAAACTGTATATTTTATAATTCCTAGACATGCGTTTAAATTTACAGTTTGATCTAGCAAAACAAAATTCATAAAGTTTTAAACCAATAACAAATGCCAGATCGTTGAAAGCCAATCATCACAAAGGTAATTTTCATTTTGGCAACATCTTTCTTCCTAGGATGTCTCTTCTCATTGCTGGCTACTTTTAAAGGTGATCTGAGTTTTCATCTATAAACTCTATGAAAAAAAAGAAGCCAGAATTGCGAAGAATTTTTTTACAGTAAAAATTTCGCATGGTACTAAATTTTTGTTGGAAAGTTTGGGATTTAATTTATTGTCATTTTAATATATTCTAACTGTCCACATTTCAGCAGGGTGCTTACTAAGAAAGAGTCTAAACAATTATTAGGTAGAGAAAGAATGTTACCACCCAGTAAAACGCAAAGCGTATTGCCCTCTACGAAGGATCTTCTTCAGCCAACAAAAATTTGTCCAGGGTGTAAAGAGAGGATAGAGGGAACTGTGAGAATCTATTAGATACAATGGGAAACTTTTCTTTCATTCCTTTTTTCTGCAGTGGTTCTGTGCCTTAGGGCAGTACTGGCATCAGGAACACTTTCGGTGCACGCATTGCAATGTAATGCTCACTGGGAAGAATTACAGAGTGAAGAATAACAAAATTTACTGCATGAAAGATTATTTCCGTATCTTCAAGAAACATCATTTATGGGCTTTATCTATTTTTAAGGAGTATTATATGATGTATCACAATGCCTTGTTTCAATAAAAAATAGAAATTTTTGTTTGTTTGGGGAATTTAACATTTCTATTGATTCAGTTTAATTTAAAACTATTGAAATTTCTAAAACTAGCATAACAATACATAGATGTGAAAAGAAACTTGTTCATAGTCAAAAGTGGAGATTTAAACAAAATGCAGGTTGGTTATTCTACAATAATAGAGGTGACAAATCCAAACACGAAAAAACCCTATTCGATATTTTTATTTTGAAAAACACACTTTTAAAAGATTGAATCATGCAATAAAACATCCTTTAAGGATTAATTTGTCAGGAGGACAGTGCAACAGGATAAAAGTGCAAAAAAATATCTATCTATATATATTTTTTTTTAAATAATATTGTTCTCAAACCTGTAGTGTCAAAAAAAATAAATAATCTATACTCTGACAAGCTTATAGTAAGATTTAACTTATATTTAATTAACAAACAATGCTGGTTTTGTAGCAATATATAATTTCAATATAATTTTTCAACAGAGTTTACTTTTTGAAAGTTACTTAAACCGTAAAACCCTCAGCAGGTCTGATTACAAAAGACATTTTCAAAACATCAAGAGTACAGTGAAAACTAATTTTTAAAAAATAATATAGTTTTACAAGTTTCTTGTTAACTTTTTTAATTTGCCCAGTTGCAAACAGTAATTTTTGAAATGGATGATTAAATGAATAAATGTAAATTCCAGTACCTTCAGAAGCATGTCTGGGAAACGGCTTCTCCCACCCACTACATCCAACCTCGCCCCTTCTGCACGAAAAACAGTAACTGATTGTACAAAAATTTGTTCAGGGTGTAATGAAAGGATTGAAGGAACTGTGAGCAATTTTGTACCGAGATCGCCTGGCTTGTTTTTAACAGTTTTCCTTTTCTCCCAGTGGTTCCAGGCCTTAGGGCAGTATTGGCACCAACATCACTTTAAGTGTGCCCATTGCAGAAAGGCGCTCACCGGGCAAGCGTACTTCCAAAAGGACAATAAGCCTTTCTGCAAGAAAGACTATTTGCATCTCTTTGGCCAAAACTGTCAAAGATGCGGTGGTTCAATTGACGGGGTACTATTATTTTATGCAGTTATCTGACTCCAACTAATGTTTGAACGATGTTTAGCAGTCGACACAAGCTCTGAACAATTTTTGGCATCCTGAACATTTTACTTGCTGGATTTGTAACAAACCCATCGACAAGGAACATTTTAATGAACGTTTCAATAAACCCTACTGTGTTGAATGCTTTGAGAAAAAAGAGATCAATCCTATATGCGAGGGTTGTAATAATCCAATTACAGATGCTATTTTGGTGGGAATGGATAAATTCTGGCACAAAGGATGCTTGTTGTGTTCGGTATGAGCTAATTTGAATTGATCCTGTTTAAATTTACAATTTAAATAGTTTTCAATAATTAAAAGAGGCCTTTGAGAGAAAACAACTACTGCCTAGCCATCTTCAATCATCCTGGTATGCCTATTATTTTTAATTATTATATCCTGCAAGAGGTTTGTTTCTCTCTCTTATTGTACCAATCATATTTTTGAAGTTCTTGAAAGGACACAATTTACAAAATGCCAGACTTGTCAGACAGCCCACAAGAAATACGCAGGCCAGGATGTTCAAATTTTATCTGACTAAAAACAATTTTTTAAAGTTGTTAATTATTTGAAACAAAACTTATTTAATTATTGATTATTGTTGTAATTTAACAACTTTTAAATTTGTCACAGAAATGTTTTTACCCAGTTGAAAAGGAACTAGTAACAAAGGATGGATTGCCAATTTGCAAGAAGTGTAAATTAAAAAAAAATTGATTTGCCTGATTTTCATCAAAGGTGATTTATGATTTTTACATGAACTAACTTTTTTATATTACTTTTATGTGTATTATCAATTGCCTATTTTGCCTGCAGAAAATCCTCTTATCTTAAAATGGCATATTTTGATGGGGACAACTGATGTACTTATTAATTTTACGATTGTGTCTTAACATTTTTTTAAAATTATGTTTTTTCCATTTATTTATGTATAACTAACTGAACAATGGCCTATAATAGGTGCTGGAAGAGGTGAAATTTGAATATTCCACTCTTGGTTTGTTTTTACACACCAAGTGTCAACTTGGTTCAGAGTTCTTCCATACTTTGAAGATGTACCTCCAATAATCAACATTTTGTCTTCTGTAAATAAATAATTGATAGTTCAATAATAAATTAGAGGATAAAAATTAGGAATCCTTACTTAAAACTGCGACTGTGTGACCATGTCTTGGCACAGACATGTTTGTTTTAAATGTCCATTCTTCGTTTTCCCATGCTTCAATTATATCTGTGCTTTCAATTTTATCCGCATTACCCGTCGCTCCTCCAACCACATAAAGCGTTTCCTTCAAATTAACCAATGCAGCAAAAGCTCTACCGAATCGTAAATGTGTTTGTCTGACCCACCTGAAAGTTTTAAATTTATAAAATTGATATTTTAATGGCCAATGAGACTCACACATCATCCTCTGGGTCATAGCAATAAACTAAGTTGTTTGTTGGTTGTTTGTAACTGCTCATTCCTCCTACAACCCAAATGCTACCTCTATAGCAGCAAACTGCCGCCCCTATGCACGGCTGAGGAAGCGGTTTAATCTGTTCCCACATCCCAGCCTCAGGGTTGTATCTTTCAGCTGATGAAAGAATTCTGTTGTCAAAATAATTTTTTTAAAAAATATGTTTCAGCTGAGATTCTGCAAGAATAAATGAAGATGGTCAAATAATTCACCTGCCATTCATCCCTTCTCCACCGATGACATAGAGAAAACCATGAAGTGACGCAAGGCCAAAACTATGTCGTGGTGTTATTAAAGGAGCTTCTTCTTTCCACTGGTTTGTTGACGGATCAAAGCTCAGTGTTTCAGCACACAACGACTGAGCACACTTTTCTACATTTCTAGGATATCGACCACCTATTTAAAAAGAAGAAGAAAAAAAAGAAAAAATATAACACAATAAATAAAACTTTGGACCAATTTTACCGACGATGTATATCTTTCCTCTTAGTTTAGCAGCACAATGATAATACCGAGGCTTCGGTATGTAGCTGATAATATCCCATTTGTTGAATTTTGAATCATACCTTGAACATTTGAGAAATATACTTCAGCAATCTCACACTCTGAATATGTAATTTTTAATAATCAATTTAAATTATTGACCTAAAAACAGCGCACTTTCCACTTGTGTGTTCACTTTGACATGGATTAAGTCCTTCAAAAACTAAAATTTTCTCTTCACTCTCTTCATGAGACAAAGTGTCTTTAATCATGCTGAAAAAAAAAATATTCTAAAGGGTTAATTTACAATCATTGTAAGCAGTGTTAAAAGATTTACCTATTTTCCTTTCCAGTATTCACAGATTTGAAAATGATTTCATACTTTTTATAATTTTTCTTTATCTTTTCTTCCCTTGAAGATTTTACGTTGAAATTCATCAAATGGATTTTTTTCCGCGCCAAGAAACCTCTAGCTACTGACTGAATAACAGTGGCAGCACTTTCTTTCAATGAGATCCTTTTAAAAGAATTTTGACACTTCTTACATTCCACCAAAACACTGTTTTCATCACACTGTATGTCCTGAAAATGATTATGACAAAGTAATAAATAGGAAACTTAAGCCATATTTATAATTCTTATATTTAAAGCGTTTCTTACTTTGGGTTTATTATGTGAATCTATAGATTTCTCCGGTTTCTCATTTTTCAATACAGAAATAGTGCTTTTGCTAATAGCTATACAATTTTCAGAGTTTGTTACATTTAAAATTCTCTCGCTCATCTTATTCTGAGGGCTTATGTAGCTTTGTTTCATTTCAAAACTTGTTGGGTTTGTTTTTATCTCATGAAGATAATCAAGGAATTCCTTATATGTTCTATAATCCTGAAATTAATTTTTAAAATGTAGTTTTTTATTAATTTCTAAGCCCTCTTAATACACATTTAAATAAAATATTTCCATGTTTTATTTTGATTGATTATACTTACTTTTGAGGTTGACGTAAAATTCCTTTTGTTGGGTTCGATCAATTTTAAAAAATTACATATATTTTCTTGTTCGTTTTTATTCTCTGTCAGTATGTTTTTGACAGCGTATCTGAAATTTAAGATGGTAAGGTTGTCAGCTTTGTCTGAAAATTATTGGTGAAACTTACGCCAAGCCATCTTCTATCATGTTTTGAACATGTTTATCCTTGGTTATTTCTAAAATCTCAGGGGATTCAGGATTTTTCCTTATATTCACCAGCTGCGATGGAGTCATCAGACCAAATCTTACACATTTCATAACTGTTTTTAAATCCTTTCTCCTGTCCTCCCAATCGGCTTTTAACCACCTGATAGCAGCCATAAACACTTCCAACTCGCTTTAATAAAAAAATATTATTTTAACATTCTTAACAGCTTGCATACCATCCGTCAACAAGTAAACAATTGAATATTTATTATTACCAGTGAACAACGATATTGTCAGATTCGAGTATTAAACAAAGATCTTCGGCATTTAACTGTATGAAGTCCAAGGAACTGACCAAAGGAAGAAAAAAGCTATGTATCCTAGACACCATTAATCGTTTGATTGATTGTTTTCCCCAACGAATGGCATCGGTTATAATTGAAAACGCGTTCTCTTCAATAAAAAGTTCATCATTTTGAATAAAAGTGTTGCATTGCTCTTCTAAATCTAAACCGTTAATAATTTATTTTATTTTGAAAGTTAAGTGTGATACATGACCGACCTTTTATCCCCAAGATTTCAGCAGCGACTAAGACTTCGACAATGCTGCTTTTCTTTATACAATCATGGCCGTCTTGTCCTGCTGAAAGCATCCACAAATAAATCGTAATGAAAGCATTCTTAGTCACTCTCTGTAAGAGATAGCTATAAGATAGACATTAAAAAAAAAAAAAGGACTAATCATGGCATACTTCATCAACATGAATGACATTTGGCGCATCAAGGCTTGACATCGAGTCAAAATAATCTGAATATGATTGTAAAACGATACGATGGCAAAAGAATTCGTGATTATCAATCACCAAAATGATATCAGGATTTCTGAAATATTTTTTCAAATAAAAAAACTATAAAAATTTGTATATTTTCAAATATTTTAAGATTAATTACTTAAACATATTTTATAGCCTCAGACTGTGTCACGAGTTGGAGAAATGACTAACTTCTCTATTTCAACCCTTATTATTAACAACTACTATAATTGTATTTTATTTTACAAGTAAACTTCAGAATATTATTACTTTGTGTTTTTTATATGAAACTGGGCTCTACAAAACACAAGTACATTGCATGTTGGACTCAATATGTCCATATTTTAAAATTAATTGAATATTGAGAGCTAACAGTTTATAAATTTTATATGATTGTAATATACAATATATAATACTCTTATAATAATTCTTAGAACTTAGATTGAGATATGCCAGTTTTTGCCTCAACTTGTCTCATCAAGTCTAACAATAAGGACAGCAAGGTTGTATTGCAAGGGGTGGAATGCACTTTGTATTGTGAGGGTGCGTCCACTTTATGGTTACTCCCACCAAACACATGAAATTGTATGTGATTTGGCACATGCTTGAGAAGATCCATGATAACGGTGGCTCTGCTTACCTTATCTACACTGACTCCCTCAGCAAGTTTACTGCTGTCTGTGACAGGACCTCAATCAACCAACCCTCTTGTGCTTTTGTTGGAAGATACCATATACTGGATCGTCTTGGATAGACGGTAGTTGTTCACAGTACTTGGACACATAGGTCTAAAGGATAACAAAAAGATGGATGAGACGGCTACATCCCAACCTCTGGACCTAACCACCGTAATCCAGCCACCCTGATACTGTTGATGGGATGTATTGGCAGAGAAGTGTTCGCACACCATAGCACTGTCAATGGGAAGAACATCAAGACCTCCACACCCTAACTGAGTGAATAGTATAACAAGAAAGAAGATAGTTGAGTGAATGAGTGGGTTTGGATCGAGAGACTGATTATATTGGGAGATGAAATAATGCAGCTGTTGTTAACACCCAGAGCACAACCTTGGTGGTTGGACGGATAAGACTGAGGACTGACCCTGGACTGTCAATACCCGGGGTGGGTGACTCTCAAGAGCCAGTAATTTAATGTAAATTACAAAAATTGGAATTGCCAGTGACTGTGAGAAGTGACGGGGGCAGATTTGAGCTTATATAAATCAGTAATAATTAATAATTAATGATTATCACATACACAAAGTTTTTAATTCTGTGTTGGAGGGTTTCCTGCAGCTCTTTCCTTTTTGGAATTCGGATAGAAGTCCAGGGTGAACCATCTGAATGCAGCCCCATGCTTAAATCAAATCGGTATAATTATTTATAAAGAATAGCATACACAAGTAAAAAAAAGAAAGCTAGTAAAGTAATGCTAGGATGGGCAGCAAATTTATGAATGATAAAATCTTTTAATAATAAATGTAAAAATTATCAAAATGAGGTTTAACAGGTTTAACTTTCCGTAAAAACAAAATGCTCACGATTCTAAAGATATCTCTTGAGAAAAAACAGAATCCATGCTGATTGTGATCTTATTTTTTGTATTTTTCTGTATGCAGTTGTTACCAATGGGTTTTATTTTATGGCGACCCTGATTTAAAAAGAAAATATAAAAATAATTTAAAAAAATAGACAGGCAGCCAAACAAAGCATACCTGATTATTTACACTCTTTAACTGTTCGGTAGAACAGGTTCCACTTGCTGACCACAGCAATCCTTGCTGCAAAGTTATACACGTGAATAGTTTCATATATACTTTGCCTAACAATAATTGATTTGTCCTTGAGCTTGAGCCCTTTCATATGTAGGTTGAAGTAGTATCTTTAGTTTGAGTGAATGTATTTATTAGCATGAATGTTATAATATGTTTGGGAGTGTTTGTGATATCCAGTTAACACACCAAAGTAGTTTAGGTTATTTAGTTTTATACATAATTGCAGCATGATAGGGCATCATTGGCTTAATATCAAGAACCCTGTTGACTACCCAATTATGTGATTGTATTTATTTGCGTGAGTGGTTAAGTATATGTGGAAATGGTCTGTGGGAAATATTGAGTATCCAAAGACCTGTCGTGCCAATTAGGTTAACTTAGGTTAGTGAATGCTTGATTTTTTACTGTGTAAATGTATAATAATAATAGCACTTTATATGTTATAATACAGTAATATAAAATAAAATAATTACACAAGAAGCACAAGAAAATTCCATCTGCCAGAGATGAATGAAAACATCAATAAAGCAACAAGAAAACAGAATAAAACAAAAAAGGAAAAAAGGAGAAAAATTAAAGAACATGAAAGTAAAGTAAAAAAATACAATAAAACAAATAATCAATTTTTTCTCATCTGTGGAGGTGTAAAACATCAAAAATAGGGTTAATAAAAAAATGCAAATAGCCCTAGCTTCTTTCCAGCCGAAAAAATAAAAAATATAAAATAAAATAATCAGCTTAAACATATTTGTACATCATGGACTTACGCTTCTGATTTTCAGTAGGTCATTGTTTACATTTGTTGTTGATGGTTGTTTCTGTTTGAAAAAAGCTTTTTTCTCTGAAATACAGTAATAATTAAAATAATAATACATTATTACATTATATAACAAAGCTACAATTCAATAAGAATGTTTTATGTATTGAGTATATATAAGGTATGGAATTCAGGTATGAATCGACAGTCTAGACATCACAAATTTGTTGAGGATCAGGGATGCAGCTACAAAAAAAGTGAGTATTGTAACTGAGCCATAGGCCTACTCATCCTCACTTCTTTTGACCGTATCACTGATCCTCAACAATTTGTGATTGAATATACAATTGTTTTTAAAGAAGTTATAGAAGTAATTTCGTTGAAAGGTGCAATAAAATGTTATTACAGAAAAGGGTTGTAATTAATGAACTCGTACAACTTATAAATTTATTCTCTTTGTAGTGCTTTCAAAGCTTCGATTGGCTTCCTCTTCATCATCAAGTGAGAGATTGGTTAAAGACTCAGTCTATAGAGGAAATGTGCTAAAGAAGCCGATTGAAACTTTGAAAGCACTACAAAGAAAAAAAAAATTATGAGCTGGACAAACTCAATAATTACAACTCTAGATTAATGAAATAATAAATGACAATGAGAAAAAACTAGGGTAGTTAGTTCAGTAATTTTCTTTATTTTATAAATTATATATTTTAATAATAGGTAGGTTACCAAAATTAAGTGTTCTTCCTGTGGCTATTGTGTTTAAATTTAATTAACAATTTTGTAAAAATTCTTTGTTGCAGTATTTACTATTTGGAATCTTGTCTCACCTTTCTCCAAAAGTTGTATGGAACTGTTTTCCCATTTGTCATCCGGTTGAAACAGCTCCGAGATTTCTTTATGCTGGAGGAGCAAGTTTGAAGAAAAGCTTGTAGTGTCGGTCAGGTTATCATTTAATAAATCCAGATCATCCTTGGCCTTCTCCCTTCAAAGATAAGAACGTTAAAGAAAATCAATAATTATTATTACAGATAAATACCCGTAATTTAGAAGATCTAGGCATCTGGTGTCCATGTTTTCAATATCCATAACATGATTAGACCCCTGAATAGAAAATATAGAAAAGATGGAGTGAATTCATGTATATTAGATACATTCATTACATACTCTGCTAAAGATGACTTTCTTCATATTATCTGAGTTATGTTATGGGTGTTAAAAGAAAATAAAAAAATAGAACAATAACTAGTTTAAACACAAAAACAAAACAAAGGAAATGTGGGATTTTACAATCCTAACATCTGTTCAGGTAATGGGAAATAAAGAATTAGAGGTGATAATTTTTCTTATTTGGTCAACAGATATTTATAATAATAAAAAGTAAAATAATAAAAAGACCTTTGGAACCAAAAATAAATGGTAAAACAGTGTGAGGTGAATATCAAGTCTTAAAAGGACATATTTGGCAAAATAACTAAAGATGAGATGAAAATCAAGATAAAAGCTAATAAGTATGCCTATTAGCTTTAATTTGTAATAAACATGCTATGTACCAATTTTTACCCTTGAANAATTTATTATATAATGTAAAATTATTTCTTCCCTGTTTGTTCTTGTGTTCACAAAAGCCCTTTAAAATTGATGAAAGAAAAATGGATTAAAAACATGTTTAAAAGAAGAGCACAGTTGATAGGTGGCCCTTGAACTGACTTATAGAAGAAGGGTCATCCTCGTAAGTATTTTTGGTCCAAAGCCCACAGATGTAGAGAAAAGTTGCTCGATGTGTCCACTTAATTTAAGATACAATTCCTTAGTTTCCATGAAGAGAAGAAGGTTTAGGAACCTGATATGAGAACTGTGCTTGAGCACAGCAGCAATTATCTGAGCCCCTGTTCCGATTCTTGGAAACATTATTGTATAAAGTGCTTGTACAATGTCCCAAGTGTGTTCCTAGTGTGTTTTGAGAGTGAAGTTATATATTGGCATGAATGCTACTAGTGTGTAGTGTGAGAGGTGAATGGTATGTAAATTAGAAAGAATGAGTGAGAATGGGTTTGGATTTAGGAACTGATTGTGTTGGGCTGAAATGACTTAGTTTTTGATAGTCCTGGAGCCCAACCTCGGCGGCTGGACGGATAAGACATAATGCCATGGTATTTCCAGGATGTCTCCCAGACGATGGGTATGCTGGTGGGTGCGGTGGTGAAAGCGACTTTTGCCAAAGCCTTCACTGTCCTGGGCTATGGTTTATGACAGTTGGTGTAGCAAGGCTGACTGAGTCTGACCCTGGTCTACCAACACCCGGAGTGGGTGATGCTCGAGGACCAGTAATTCATTGTAAATTATAAAAGCTGGAATTGCTGGTGGACTGTAAGAAGTAATAAGCTGAACTCATTGAACATCCTATAAATCAGTAATTAGTAAACAATTTAATCTGATCTAAGCTCTTATTTAAATTTATTCACAAGAAGTATTTATTATTTTGTTTAAATATTACTGATGTGAATAGAATAGATAAAAAATAAAATAAAATTTGTATTTGAGACGATGAAAAAATTTTCACTTCAAACATGCTTCACATAATGGTTGTCCCTCAGAATTTATACCGAATGAGCCATTTCCTATAGGTTGCTTGCATTTCTGGAAAGCGTAGTAAATTCAAAATTGTAATTATGAATATAAAGGCATTTTAAAGTGACTTACACTGCATTTGAAGCAATTTTGATGCCACTGGGAGTCTAATGCCGTTAGGATTGTATCACTGATCGGCTTCTTGCATCCTTTGCATTTTGGGCAGAAAAGATGTTCGTAGCATTGTTTACAGTATGGCTCATTGTTCTTTTCAAAAAATGGCATCTTCTCGAGAGTCTTTTGGCAAGATTCGCACGAAAAGTGTTCACTGTGCCAATGAGCACCCAAAGCCATGACACACTTCTCTTTGCACTGCAATTAATTTAATTAATTTTATAATCGTGTTAAATCTATTTTTATTTTGTATTTTGTATTTTTACCGACCCCGTCTATAAGCACATCACATTTTTTACATCTTTTACCATTCATTTCAAGAAAACAATTTGTGCAGTAGGGTTTTTGATCGGCGACTTTGAATTGATTTTCCGTTATTGGTATTTTACATTTCTCGCAGGTAAAATGGTCAGGGTGCCATGTTTTACCCAAAGCAGTTAGCCACTAAACATTACATTGACTATTGATTTCTGGTTTTAAATGATAATATTTTGAACTTACTGTTCCTTCAATTGTCTTATCACAACGAGCACATTTTTTCACAACTTTGTCTTTACTCTAAGGAAAAAAAATAACATTAATAATTGCAAGATTACTATTCTTGCAACTCCATCAGAGCCAAATTAATTGGTTCAATTATATATATATATAATAATATAATATGGAAGGAACGAAATTCAAGAAATTCTTAAACGCGATATATTTTTATTCAGCTATTTTTTTAGAAATTATTCAAACTNTTATTTGATATTATGGGAAATTGGAAGGAGGGACAAATATTTAAAGAAAATTTTATTTTTATTATTTGTAAAGAAGAATGATTCAAATTTACTATGAATTTGTCTCAAATTTTTTTAATTTTTGTGTCAATTTTCCTTTGTAAAACTTCTTCATTCATACAGCTACTCAATTACCATCAGTTTTTCTCATTAAGAAAAAGAAAAATCTGATGGTGCAAAGTAAGGAGAATAAGTGATATAAAGAAGAGAAATCCCCATGTAATTTTGTTTTAACCTTCATCAAGCAACAAAAGCAAAACTTGAATTTGAGGTTTAAAAGTTTTGAATTTGAAAGTACGAAAAGTGTTGAAGCATAGTAGATGGCTGTGGGAAAAAGTCAAAGTAAGACTGCTTCATCATTATTGAAACTTGAAATTTAGTAAATTGTACAAATTTATTTTACGCTTTTTCCTTGACACACTGGAGCAGGTGATGTACACATGTGTGCATTGCAAAATAAGCAGGGAGTTTTGAAAAGCAGATCGAGCTTGATAGTGTAATCATTTGGTCTTCCTATCCTTGCAGTTTTAGCTTGATGGAACTGTTTCAGCTCCTCCTTATTTTTGATTTTTAATAATAATTTTATAGAAATCCACCACTGAATATGAGGAGAAACAGAAAGATATCTGACAAACTAAAACTTCAAGTATAGGAAGACCTATGACTACATTAGAATGATATACACTAGTCAAGAATGATCTGAAAAGACTACACTATCACCCTCGCCTTGCTTTTTCAAAACTCCCCGCTTATTTTTCAACATATGCGTGTTTATATAGCCTGTTCCGGTGTGTTGAGTGTCTACCAGACCTCTTTACTCCTTGCTTCTGCAATAATACACAGACTGAGACGTTGGGAAAGGACAAAACTGCAGGTCCATCACCAGACCTCACAAATTTCGGATGAATGATCAGAAGAAAATTAACAAATTAAATTAATAATTTATCTGAAAATACAAAAAAAAGCTTTTCAAAAAAGAAAAAAGAAAAAAATTGCCTCCTTGCAGCTCGAAACCAGTTCAGATATAAACAGACATTCAGATTAGCCAGATTCCACTATATTAGTAATTAAAAAACAATTTTAAAATGGAATGTGTCTACAAAAGTGTTTTTCCATTTGTTCTCAACAATTATTTATAAACATTTGTACCATTTTGTTTATTCTCAAATTGGTGCTTCTTTCAGCTTTGCAGTATCATCACTGTTCATTTTTTCCACTGGAGACTGAAAAGGAACAAACTTTAGGAATCTAGACTTTAACAAATTTATTATTAATAATTTTAGTCAACTTCAAGGTATCAAAATGAAACGATTTGTTTTACTAGTTGCAAACAGTAAAATGAAAGCAAATGATTAAAAGACAAATAACACAATAAATTTAAAAATGACCTAAGCTCATTTGTCTAGATAAAGCACCCATGAAGAAAACAAGGTGAGGGTCCCCAAGACTGGAGAGATTAATTTAACAACATTGTTCTTTAGAGTCTGATTTAAGCATACTTTTTATGCAGATCCTTCAAACTGATGCTCATTTTGGTAGAACGGAGCCAAGCATGACCAAACCATCACCTGACACTGACCTATAGGCACACCTATCAGGGCATTTATATTTGTTTTATGTTTTTTGGTACAATTTTGTTTCTTTTAAGTGTTTAAAATCCATACAATTGGTCTAAAGTGGAAAAAAAAAAGGTTGTCCCTGGATAAAACATGGTGACAGTTTGGAGTGACAATTAAACGTTTACCACAAAGATAAGCTTGGAGAGTTGTCTCAGTCATGAGGAATTCAAGTGTCAACCTTCTATGCCCAATGCAAAGTCTACAAATGAAGATCTTCTATTGGAGTGGAAAGTTTTTTCCGTGGTTTGATATCATATTTGACCATTCTGAGCTTATTTATGACTCATTTCCACTGGGTATTCGATTTTTTAAAAATTTCTCTTTTAAAAACCAAAATTACACACTCTGTGTTAACTGGTATATCAGACAAAATATTAAAAAGTTTAAATAAAAATATTGTACCAATTTATTTTGTCAGCAATTCTATTGAAATATTTAACAGTAAAATTGAACAACCTTGTTTTCTTCTTTTCAAATAGTATACAAATTAATATACCATTGAATTTATTACTTTATTTATTGACCTTTAAAACTTGCAGGCACACAGACATTAAACGAGAACAAGTCTCATTTGATACACTTAACAGGTTTTGGCTAGCTTCCAAATAAAAGTGATAGTTGTGAAATGATTCATTTATTTCTTTGTAGTTTCTTTAATTTGGTGTTTAAAAATTGATTGTTGTATACAAGAAATTGATCTAGACTTTTATTAGATCAGTTATGATGAGTGGCTAAATTTATTCTCGAGTTACTCTGCCTATTGTTGGTGAATTGGTTTGTCAAGATAAGTTTCTGTTTTGTCATTGGTACATATATTTATTTATATAGGACTTTGTAATTAATTTGTTAGTGTGAAAAATACTGTTGTTACAAAAATATATACTAGATGTATCAAGATTTCAGAAAATTATGAAGGATGTGCTGAAATTCAATTTCATGCTGGACTGAATGCAAATGATTTACCCCACACATCGGTATTAATTAAGAAACAGTTTCATAACAAAAGCTAAATGAAATTAATTTTTAAATCATATGTAAATAAATTTAAGCATAAGATTTTTTTTTGTAAATGCTTTAATCTGTTTCTTGTTCCTAGTTTTATATTTGTTTTCTTTATAATGAGAAAAACAAGAGGATATGTGACAAAATATTGCTTTCTAACCATCATGACCGATAATAATAAATTAGTTTAATGTTTAATTATCAAGATAGTAATGGTTCAGTATGTCGATCCTGCCTCTATGATTGCTTTGGATGCCACCTGGGTTGTGAAGTGACATTGTAAAACAAATTTTAAAAATTGAAACAAATTGATACTTACTTGGAAGACAGCATTGGACGCTGGACTAAAAATATGCCTAATATGTTAACAGGAAGTTGTTTAGTGGTAGTTGTACGAGTTTTCTTGTCTAGTTAAGAAGTTTCATTTCTGTAAGTAGTAATAATTGATCATGTGTTTTTTAAGTGTACTGATATTTTATTTTGAAAATGGCAAACTATTCGTGCGTTCAGGCTTAAGTGTTTGCGATGGAGAGTTTTTAGAAAATGAACAATGTTCACACAAACTGTCAGACTGTAAATAGTTAATTTTTTTCTAGATCTAATTAAATACATGACGATTATTAAAAAGACAATGTTACACTCTGTGACATGAGTAACATTATTTTAAATGATATTTTTATGAGACAAATGGAAGTTTTTAACATTAAAAAAACAAACAGCTGGGTATATTTTTCCTTGTTTTAGTTATGAAAATGTGAAGCTGTGTCAATTTTTATATAAGAAATAAAATTTACTTTTTGAAATATAGAGCAAATTTTTGCAATGTCAATTTGTACAATTATTTTCAAGACATTAAAAAAATCATCTTCTGTAGAAGATTGTAGAAATTAAAAATATTAAACTGTTTTTTTTTAAATTTCAGGTTCAATTGTTATAAATAAACAATACCAAACATTGCCTTGTTGATCCAAAGGTGTTCTTACTAACAACCATAATTCCATTCATTTACACAAATGTTTAAAATAAGTTTTAAATTAAAAGAAAAATTGTGTTTAAAAATGTGTCAAAAAATTTGAAAATCAAGTGTTAAAAGGGTCTTTTTAATGAATTCACAACTTATTTAGCTGATTCTTTCTTTTTCGGCTTTGACGGTTCTGGTTCTTTCTTTTGGTTCAAACACGCTTCGCATAATGGCATTCCTTCTGGGCTTACTCCAAATGTTGAAGTGCCGATTAAAGATTTGCACTTCTGGAAAAGTCAATAACATTTGTAGACTGTTACAATCTTTGGTAGTAGATGGACTTACGGCGCATTTGAAGCATGCTTTGTGCCATTTGGAGTCCAGCGCAGAGAGTATCAAGTCGCTGATGGGCTTTTTGCAACCTTTACAAGTCGGACAGAACTTCTTCTCGTAGCAATCTTTGCAGTAAGGCATTCCATCTTTCTCGAAAAACTGTTTCTGGTTGAGTTCAGTCTTGCAAGACTCACAAGTAAAATGTTCAAGGTGCCAATGAACTCCGAGTGCAGCGATAGTTTTCGATTTCTACAGATTCATCGTCCATTATTCAGAGCGATACAACATTTAATAATATCTTACTTCAATAAGTTCACCGCAGCGTTTGCATTTTTTGCCAAATAGAACCAAGTAACATGGATTACAGTAAGGTCTATTTTGCTCAACGGCAAAACTATCATCAGTGATCATCTTTTTGCATTTTTGACAGATAAAATGTTCAGGATGCCAATTCTGGCCCATAGCTGAAAAACTCTAAAACAACAGAATTGGTATCAGCAAGAAGAACAGATTGTATTCAAACTGTAACCACAAATATAGATCCGAACGTAAACAGTAACTTTTTATTATTATTTTTTTTACAATGTACTGGCATACACCACTTACCTTACATCCTTCAATCGGTGCATTACACCCCCCACATATTTTCTTTTCACTCTAAAAAAAAATAAGTGAACATTTACAAAAAATTGATTTGATAACCTTAAGAATATTTATTAAGTAAGAAAATTTGCCACCCTTGTTCAATGAACCTGTCCTGGTTCAATTCTACAAGACTTTTCAAAGATATAATGATCTATTTTTAATAAATTAATAAATAATGATAGGCCAAAGTAGTAGTTTAAGTGAACAAATTTGTTTAGATTTGAATGAAATTTCTATTAGAAACCTTTTACGTACCATGTTGGATAGTAAAGATCTGCCTTTCTGTATGTTGTAGGACTTTTAAATATACTAATTGTAGACAACAATATTATCTAAAACAAATAGACCTTAATTAAGTTAATTCTGCATAGGAATAACCCCCGAGGAAAACAATAGTGCAGTTAATCAACTTGAAGAAAATTGCTTATTACTCACTGTTAAGTGTACTAAGCCTATTGACTTTGAAAACCATCTTGATTTGAAAATTTGTGTTTCTGGTTGAACCTTGAGTGTCTTTATGAAGTAATGCATTTTTACCATATGTTATTTTAAATTTTAACTGAAGATTACTGGTGAATCTTGCATTTAATGTCAGCAGTTTTTGTTTTCGGGCTATACTTAGGATAGTATTGTATGAATAGCTTCAATCATGAAAATAGTAAGACCTGTTGGTAAAACCCTAAACCAAGACAGAGAACCTTAGGAATAAATTTTGATCAGCCTTTTACAAAATTAAATTTCCTTGTAAAGAAAAGACGACTTCTTCTTCCAGGTCTTACTTCCACTTAATTATTATAGGATCTTTTTATACTATGTTCATTAGAATTAATTTAACATGTTTAACAATCAATGTTTTTAAGGGGTACAGATCGATCCGTATTTCACCATTTTATTATCTTTATTGCATGACCAAAAAGGCTGCAAAAATACCAAATTATATTGGTCAAACTGTTTAGTTTTAAGCATATAGCATTGGTGATCTCTAATTATGCTCAGGCAATCTAGGAATCTCCTGGTGAAATTGAAAAAAATAAAAGGATATTTCACAAACACACAGAATTATAATAGTCCCATGCCCTCTGGTCTCAATGTAAATCTCAGAAAATAGAAGAAAACAGAATTATAATCTAATTTTTGAATTATGAAAACTCAACAGAAGTTTAACAAAAGTGCATAAACATATGTATCATCTGTAGATTCTGCAGATATGGTATCCGAAGCAATTGGTTCTTCTGCACCACTCAACCATGGAGGTCTTACTTTGGTTGGTAATTATCAGTAAAGTTGTGTTCGTATTTAATAAAATCTTATACAAAATGCAGCATATGACATTTTGATTGCAAAATTGGAGGCATATGGTTTTTATGACATCCTTTTCTTCTTGTTTCACTCTTATCTAGTAAATAGATTTCAAATTCTTTTAAATTTACAGATGCTCAGGAGTTCCTCAGAGCTCTCACTTAGGGCCTCTTTTATTTGTTGTTTTATAAATGACATTTACTCTGACATTTACTTAACGATATAATTTATTTCTTTTTGCTGATGATCTAAAAATCTTTAGACCTGTTTCTTCTTTTTTTGACTACTTAATCCTCCAAAACAATTTAAATTCTCTTCGCTCTTGGTGTTTAAATAATAATCTAAATCTTAATACTTAAAAATTTTTCCACACCAACTTCTCAAGGTGTAATAATTCTAGCAACCGTACTTACACAATCAATGACACCCATCATTACACCCAACATGACAAATGATGTTAAAACTTTCCATAAATTATTAAATAATCAGATAAACTGTCCAGAACTCCTCAAATTGACTTTAAAGTTCCATCTCATAACACCAGAACCCTCAAGGCTCAAAGGCTCAAACTTTCAATGCAGCCTACAATAGGAACAATTATTTCATTCTCTTTTCATTTTCCAATCAACAGAGTTCAGAGACAAGCCAACTTCATTGTCATAGTTTTTTTATTGATAAAAGTACAAAAATTAAAAAAAAACTTTAAATTCCACTTGGAAATTGTAACTAGTCATGGTTATATATATTTTTTGTATCCACTTATATTTGTGTGTTCTTATATATTTACTTATTACCTATATTTAATTCTACTTTGTATTAGCTTGATTATTTGAAAAATCAAGATTGTTAAATGCATCTGATATTTTTTCTATATTGTCATTGATGACAGGGAATTTTGCTAGACAGTTGTGACTTTATGAGCTGTGCAGCATTGACCACGTGTTTGGAATCTGTACACGCGAGGTGATTTTTGCCTGTCGGTTATCATCATAGACCATTAATCAGCATGACAGCATTGTCATATTTTCTATTTTCGAACTATTTTTAACTGTCATAGTGATGCCGACATTGTGCAGTTCAGGATGCGGCCAAAATGCCTTGATGAAGGTAAATCTTTGAATTATAATTTATTCTTCATGCTATTTATGGTACATCTGCTTATTTATGCTATAACAATTAACAACGATCAATTATTTTACTTTGTACATTCATAATAAAATAAATAAAAAGAAAATCAGTTCAATTTCATCCTTTCCAAAGCCAACTTGTCGAGGAAGTTAATTGTCTACTTTGATGAAACAATACATTTGAGTAAAAAAATAATTATTGTTCCTTAAAAGCATGGTATTAAGTCGAAAGTTTTCACCTGGGCAGATGCTTTTGCCAATGATGGACATAGCACTTGTAATGTAACTCAAGGTGTGCCGCGTTCTACATCTAGGGCCACTGGAAGTCTTGATCGAAAGAAGGTATTGGTCGACGATGATGCAAGATTGCTAGAGACATTCTTTTTATGGCATTTACTGCTCTCCGGAACTCATTTAAGGTCTTCCTTGGTAATGTCGACTCTGGTCCATGTAAGGGTGATTTCCAAAACGGTTGTCAGAAGGTTTCGTGAGAAAAGCCTAGTCTCTAGACATCCTGTATCAATTTCTTTACTACGGGAGAGGCATTGATTATAAAGCAAATAAACTAGCATCTTGCTTGCAGACCTGAACAATGGGGCTGCTTTATGTGAAGAAGACTTGGAGAAAGCTTAGCTTTATGTGCCATTCAGGAGCCATATCCTTTTCAAAGACAGTCAGTTATGGTATGGGGTGGGATGAGTGTATATACCCATAAAAAACTGATTATCATACAGAATTGATATTTGACAGCACTAAGGTCCATTGAGGAAGTTCTTCTGGAAGCTGTGGTCCCATTCACTTCTTTTATTGGGACAGCTTTGTGGTGATAAATGATAATGCTCAACCGCATGTAGCTCCAGCTGTCACCCAATATTTGGAGGATGTAGGGAACCTCAATGAATTGGCCAGCTTGTTTTCCTGGCATGAATCTCATAGAACACTTATGGGACATGATAAAGAGATGGATTAGACATCGTTTCCCACCTCCAACAAGTGTTAAACAGCTTCAAACCGTTCTTGTGTAGAATGGGATTCTCTTTTACAAGTCGAAAACTGATCACATGTTTACTCAATCCTTAGGATATTTAAGATCCTCCGCACAGGCAGGTGAGGTAATACGTGTTATTAAGACAAAACTGGGCAATAAATTGTGATAATAAATGATTTTCCAGTGTTTTGGTGAATTTTTTCTTTTGTGTGTATTATCGTACTTAATGTATAAAAGATAAAGCATTGACTCGGACAAGAAACTCAAATTTTTATGATTGTATTATTAATAGAATGACATAATTTTGATTATAATATTACAGTAAGTGTTTGATATGATTTTTTGAATTACTGGTTCACTTTCTTGCTAAGTAAAATTTTAAATAGAGCAAATTCATTTTTTGCAGTGCAATATAACAGTTTTTTTGTTTTTCTTCAGCGCCCGAAAACAGGGGACGCCCTGTGCAAAGAATGCTTTTTCTGGGCATTTGAGACTGAGGTGCATCACACCATAATAAAGGGCCGCCTGTTTAAAAGAGGCGATGTCGTTGCGGTGGCCGCTTCAGGCGGAAAGGACTCAACCGTACTTGCACACGTTCTCAAGACCCTTAACGAGAAGTATGATTACGGCCTTGAGCTGGTCCTTCTTTCCATTGATGAAGGAATAACAGGTAAAAAAAGAAAAAAAGAAAGAAAACAGTACAAACTTATACAAAAAATTACACTGCATGCATAAAAAAACATCTTTGTGAAATAAAGCAATATAATAATTGCAGGTTATAGGGATGATAGTCTTAAGACAGTTCAACAGAATCGTGATGATTATCAAATGAAGTTGAAAATACTCGACTACAAAGACCTCTACGGGTGGACAATGGATGAGATCGTTTCTCAAGTCTGTTCTGAACTCTTATTCTCTTGAATCTATATTATTTAAACAGCCAAATGTAAAATTTCAATTGTTTTAAGATAGGAAAGAAAAACAACTGTACTTTCTGCGGTGTATTCCGGCGGCAGGCGTTGGACAGAGGAGCCAATTTGTTGAAGGTCGACTCAGTAGCGACAGGTCATAATGCTGATGATATAGCCGAGACTGTCCTTATGAACATACTACGAGGGGATATAGCTAGACTTCAAAGATGTACTGCTGTCGTTACAGTGAGTATAGTCGATATAATATCATCAATGCAAATATTAAACATTTTCTTTGTTTTCTAAAGGAAAGTGATGACTCCATTCCTAGAGTTAAACCTTTAAAATATGCTTACGAAAAAGAAATCGTAATGTATGCATACTTTAAGAAGCTAGTTTATTTTTCGACCGAGTGCATCTACGCACCAAATGCTTACAGAGGGCATGCAAGGGCTTTTTTGAAAGATCTGGAAAAAATTCGTCCCTCCGCAATAATCGACATTATACACTCAGGTTTGTAAATTCAAATGTTATCAATTTAAACATTTTATTAAAATCTGTGAGATGGCAGATGTATAGGTTGTTCCACTGGCTTTTCTTGTCTGGCTGAAGATGAAAGTTATAATAAATACCTAATTATTTTCAAATAGTATTAAGCTTCATATTTTATTGAGTTTATTTGTTAATTATTTTTAAAACATGCAGCCAGCAGTTCAAAAAACATCACTTAATCATATTTTTTCATCACAGGTGAACAGCTCATGGTAAAAAAAGGCATGGGCGTCCAGAAACGCGGCACATGCATCCAGTGTGGGTTCGTATCGAGTCAGAAACTGTGCAAAGCTTGCACCCTCCTCGAAGGGCTCAACAAAGGCCGGCCAAAACTCGGAATCGGAAAAACCAGCAAAGCTCAAGAATTGATCAAAACTGTGACTGAAAGGGTGGCGATAGACTTTTAAAAGTCCTCTGTGATAAACATGATGTTTTAGGAAAATATTGTTTATAATGGTGTAAATAAAGTTTAACTAATTTTAATATATTTTAATTATCTTTTTTCCTTTTGTGCTTCTTGTTCATAAATAGGATAAATGTGTTTTTATGTAATTAATTTACTACTAAATAAGTTTTTTTTTCAGTTTTATAATTTTATTTATTTATGTTTCAATAATTTATATTATTTTTACATTAATCATTCACTTTTTGGTTGAATTTGTCATTCAATGTTGTTATTCCTTTGTTTCACAGAACTAATACACCAAATAAATATGTTACTCATTTATAACTAATAATTAACTCAAGTAATATTCACATATATACATACATATTTAGTTCTTTAATACAATACCATATCTAACACAGAACAATTTTTTGTTGAAATTTTTAAATCACGGCACAATGTACTGTAGCATTTTAGTCTACAGGCTAGTCCTCCCCCAGGTTGTAGTGGGTTACACCTGAAACTCCTGGGATTTTTCAATGGATGTTCTTAAATCAACAACATATTGGCTCATTAATTGTGTCCATTTGAGTTGTTTGTGTAGTTGGGTGTTTTGGTCGAACCAGTCAGCATTAGTGATAATTATTATTTTGTTTTGCAATGCTTGAACCCTTTTTATTCTGCTACTTGATGTTGCACCCCGTACTTCACAGCCAGTATAGAATTGCTGTTGGTCGTTTGATTACCATGTACAGCAGTGTGCCAACTACTGTTTTAAGTAGGGATTAAAAAAAAAAAAAAAAAAAAAGCAAGGACTTAATAAGCTTTTGGATTACTTTGGCTGTCTGTAGAAAGATGGAACTCTGAGGTTCAAAAGGATAGATATGTAATATTCATGCTGTATACTAAACCCTTTGTTCCCCTGTGCTGTACTTATTCTATACTGCAAAGCACTTTCTTCTCCAAGCAATTTATTAGTATGTGTTTCTTCTGCTTCCTTGCAGAATCTTCCTCAAATCAGTCTGCAGTGATCTGTTAAGAATCATGCTAGGATTTGACGTTTGTTCCTGTTTCATTTGATGCATTCTGTTGTTTCTTTCCTTCTTTTTGAGGATTGTCTGTGTTCAATGCGTCAAATCTACAGTTTCCTCATTTTCATCTTGTCTAAGACACTCATTGATAGTGTGAATCCTATGCCTCAGAGAGCACAGGATCTACTGGTGTATGGTATGGTGATAAGGATATTAGGAAGCGGGGTTTGTACTCCCCAGGCACTGCAGCCTACTGGCTTATTGTACCTTCCTAGTTCCTTAGTTCAGTGCAATAGACTATCCTTCTCCTTAGAAGTATCAGGTCATTGACTGTCTCTGCTACAATTTCATTCCTTGAGTTTTTTTTGTAAGTTAGATTAAATCTCCATTGAGCTGTTGCTTAACATTCGAAGATGATATGGGTGGCTCTTTCCTCCTCCTCATTACATAATCTGCAGATGGGATCAAAGTTGTATGTGCCCATGTTGTGTAGATGTTTTCTCAGATGCCAGTGACCGGTTAGTAGTCCTATCACTCCTCTGTTTAGCCCTCTCACGTTGCAGCAGTGATTTTGCCAGTCTTGGTGAGGGGGGGCACCGCTAGAGTTTATCCACTTCTCCTTTTGTTTTGTTTGGATCCATTCTGCGATGGAGGATTCTATATTTGTTTTTGTTATCCCAAGTATAGGTTCAGGGCCTATATATACTGGTGTATGGATCCTCCTCTGGCCAGTCTGTCTGCTTTCTCATTACCCAAAATTCTTCTGTACCCTGACACCCAAGATATCATCAGGTTGTTGTGTTTCCCGAGGTTTTGGAGATTTTGGATGCATTCACTGACTAATTTTGATGTAATTCTTTTACATGCTAGTGCTTTAATGGCTGCTTGGCTATCAGATCTTATGAGGATTTTTTTGCCAGTGTAATCTTTTTTAAATTTCCTACTGGTATTATACCACCTTTTCTTGCAAGGGCATCTGCTCTGCCCCTACATGACCTAACTTTAGTTTGCATGCCTAATTTTTTAATTTAGTTTTGTAATTCAGCACCATCTTTTACTTAGTGCTCTGGTGGCTGCCTGGCTATCTGACAATGATAAAGCTATGTTTTTGTAATTATTGTTCAGGTTGAACTGCATACATCTCTCAATTGATTAGACTTCAGCTGGAAGATACTCATGTATTTTCCCAACGGTTCTGAGTATGTTTCAGAAGGAACATTATTTTAAATTGCAAAGAATGGTTATGTACTTTTTTCATGGTATATCATAATTTTGTTTATGAATATTATTGTCTTTATTTTTTATTTTTTCTAAATAGGGGGTTTTCTTTGATGGAAGGGTTTTTGGTTTAAATTTGAACTAAAATTTGTAAAATTCGCCGTTTGAGTGCTCAGTGATCACAGGTCTACCTTCTCACTACTATCTCACATACTGACCTCTTTGTAACATTATATTCTGTTTGTAAACTCATCTGTAGCTGTTATAACTTTTTATTTTTATTTTCAACGAAAAGTTTTCTCTTTTTGTATAAACGCAATTATTTGTCTATCAAAATGCGAGATTATTGAAGGATATGGGCAAAATGGGAGACCAGCATAAAATAAAGAAAACGGTTTTGCACGCGGGAACAACTTACACACCGCTAAACGATGGAGACAGGGTAAAAATATTAAATTTCCTCATGTAAAACCTAAATAAAAATTCAATTTGTGTATATGCAATGTGATGGCCTTTTCTATGAGCCACTCAAGAGACTTTACACTGCAAATCCAACCATATACTCTTCTATTAAACATTAATATTCTTATAATGATAATGTAAATAAAATAATCAAATAAACCGTACTACCGTAAAAGATATATCTGAAAAATTTAAGTCAGCGAGGTGATGGAGGCCATAAAACTGCTTGATATCTCGATCATCCTGGCCAATTTTTCAAGATTACAATATTAACAAACCGGTAAAAATTGACGAGGATGATTGAAGGGAATCAAGCGTAAAGTATTATATATGTGAAGAAAAGTTGCAAAATGAAGCCCAAACTATTCCAGGCAGTATCAGGTATCAACAGCCACAGGGAACAATTCAATTTATACCTAAGCAAAGTCTGAAAGTTATATTTATTAATATGATATATACGATAATATGATTCTCTTATGTGTCTTCTGCACCAGACCTGGAGCTAAATATATATGAAAACCTGTCTGCTTCAAATTTGTTTATTTCCTGCATAAAGTTCAGATGCATTCTCAGCTTGGAAGACTGAAAAGATCCTGCCTAGGGTTTTTTCTTGTATTATGTGCTTGCTTCTATTTTGATTTTTACACATGCTCTGACTCCTTGTCTCTATTTTGTATTGTTATTTTTTCTACATCAAATTTTCTAAGATCAGCAAAAAGCAAGCTGAACACGGGATGACTCCCATATATGGTATAACGCAAATAAATTTAGCTTGGTCATTTCCTATGATTTTGGTCTGCGTATCCTCGCCATTTTGATTCCTAGTTAGCTTTGGTGGTGGGTTGTAGCCATGAAGGGGTTTATAATGGGAAAGCCTACCATTGAACATGAAGAGGAGCTGAAATGTGTCTGGCAGATCAAACAGCTAGGATAGGCAGACGTTTGAATTGTTTCATTGTGACATGGAGAAAGTTGTATTTTGCAAATCTGTAAACATTCCCTGATATTCAACCAGACTCGGATTAATGTATATGAACACCTGTCTGCTTTGTTTTTATGTGCATTTTCTGTGCTTAAAGTTCAGTTGCATGAACCTCAGCTTGCAAGACAGGGATTTTCTTATATAATGGTGCTCGATTTTGTTTTGGTTTTTACTCATACTCAGATTCCTTGTCTCTGATAGGGTTGTACTTTGTAATAAAGGGGGGGGGTCTTGTAAGGGACCTTTGATGGTGGGTTGTAGCCATGAAGGGGTTTAGCCGAAATGTGCCTGACCAAAGCTGCAAAGATAAACAGTCATTTCAATTGTTTCTTCAACATTCCCTGACATGGTACCAGATTTGGATCTAAATGTATATGAACATCTGTCTTATTCATTTTTATATGTAATTTCCTGTATCTGAAGAAGAATCTGAAGAACCTCAGCTTGAAAAACTGAAAGGACCTTGCCTAGGGATTCTTGTAAGATATGCTTTCTTTTTTTTTTCTTCTGACCCCCTTGCCTCTATTTTAGATTTTTGTAACTATATTAGCACACTTTCCTCCAAATTTTGGAGTTTTATATTTCCAGACCAAACTTCCTAGGTTGACTGGACAGGGGATGTGCCCAACTATTGCAGTTTGGCCATTTCCAATCATTTTGGTATTTGTATCCTTGCTTTTTTGGTTTCTCATTATCTTTGGTGATGGATTGCATCCATGATGGGTTTTATAAAGGGACAGACAAGAAGTGAATTGCATCTGATAAATCTAAGCAGCTAGGTTAAACAGAAAAATGATCAGAAATGACCAATCTACAGGTTCATCACTTCTCAGTTTTCAAGCTATCCCAAAGTATTATGTTCAACGGGACCTCAGCACATGGACTAGATCTTGGCAGGCCAAAGATCACATTTTAATTATTTTTCTTTGATTTATTTGATTTTAATGTTGCACTGGTTCCTTACCTTTCTTGTCACATTATTAAAAACGAGTTTGTTCATCTCAGCCTTTTGCAATAGTCATTCAATTAAGTTTCAATTTTTGTAAGGATTAGGCTGATCAGGGAGTTTTAATTGCTATGCCCAATGCTCAAAATTGATTTTTTGTGTTTGTCAGTACACAACTAATATTTATTGTGCCATTAGGTCACATTTCACTTTCAAACAAGGAAATGCGATGATAATAAGACAGTGATAGATGATAGCAGGAAGAATGGCCAGCCGATGACTCTAGTCCTTGGAAAAAAGTTCAAACTGGAGGTGTGGGAGTCGATAGTGAAACAGATGTCTGTAAATGAAGTGGCATCATTTGTTGTTGACAAATCGGTAACTACGTTTATCATTAATTACCTGATTACCATATTAATAAATTTTCTAGTTAGTGCTCACGTATCCGCTGGTCGCTAAGACACTCAGAGACTGCAAAAACGAGGCGTATAAAAGGCGTCCGAGGCACTGTACCGGCCATTTTTTTCATGGCCTGGAATACGATGATCTTGATGAATTGATGAAGAACCCCTGTGATCTTGAGTTCATCATCGGTAATACTTTTTACCTGAGAGTCAGATGTGCGGCTCATTAAATAAAGCCATTGTTTTCCCCTGAAGAGCTCATCTCTGTCGAACACTCCAACGAATACGAACACGAGACGTGGCAGCTCAACGAGGAGGACAGGATCCTGCAAATTCCGAAACTGAGGGAAGAAGGCAACAGTCTTTATAAAAGCAAACAGTATGAAAAGGCTGCTGAAAAGTATTCAAGAGCGATTGGCTTCCTCGAACAACTAATGCTTAGGTATTGTGAATCTCAGCAACTTTTTAAAAACAATAAACCTAATTTAAGCAACAAATAATGAATTAAAACTATGGTAAAATGAAAAAAGATCAAATGAAATCTTAAATTAATTTAAAACAAATGATCTAAGATATTTGACTGTTGATTCAGTGAGAAGCCCAGGGCAAGCGAATGGAACGAATTGAACAAACAGAAACTCCCCCTTCTTCTAAATTTTGCCCAATGCAAACTCGTACTGAAGGAATACTATGAAGTCATTGAACACTGCAGTTCTGTTTTAGAATTCGAACCAGGTATGCAGAATAATTACTTTAAAAACAAGGGAAAAAATGGTTCTTTTATTTTATTTTAAAGACAATGTGAAAGCTCTTTATCGAAGGGGCAAAGCACATGCAGCAGTGTGGAATGGCAAAGAGGCCAAGGATGACCTGACGAAAGCTTTACGGCTCGACCCATCCCTTGAAAAGGATATTACCAACCAGCTGAAAGCGATTGAAATACAAAACCGCGAAAGGGAGAGTGTAATGAAAGAAAAACTCCAAGGGAAATTGTTTTAAAATTAAATTTTTTTTTCAATAAAATAATTTGTCTTGTTATAGTCTATTTGTGATCTTATTAAGTTTAAAAAAAATGTAAATTAAAAAAAAAATTGAAAAGTAGAATATGGTAGTTCTCAATTTATTTATTTAGAAATCGTGAGATGCGGTCTGGTGTGATGTAGGTTTCAGAAAAACATTTTCTTTATCGTGCCAACGTTTTGATCTTTATTGAGATCATCTTCAGGGCTCAAAGTGTTTGTCTTCTGTGTAATTGTGTCAAGAGTGCCTCTACATCACACCAGATCGCATCTCACGATTTCTAAATAAATATCGATTAACGGTCACTAATCACCACAGTTCTCAATTTATTTGTGTGTACATTTGTTTTTGTCTGAAATTTTAGCAGTTTAAAAATGTGTTTCTTCCTTGTAACAGTATAAATGTAAATAAGAATATTTATTAAAAAAATTAAATGAATTTATTGTACATTTGTTTATTTTTTATTTTTATATCATTTTTGTGTCTACCTGAAATTGCATTATCAAATTGATTCTGGTTGTTTTGAAATTTTTGTCACTTTAAATATCAAATTTTTCAACGCCGAAATATGTGTTGATATAGTTATTTTAGTTGTATCTTATCTGATAAAGGGCCACATCAAGATCCTCGGTTTTGTAGTTGTGTTATCTACCCTTTCTGGACAAAAAACCTTGGGAGTTTCATCGGGTTGATAAAAGAAAAAAAAATTCTGTTTGAATTAAACTTATATTAAATTTACTAACAAAATTTACTTCTTGAAAATAGGGACTTTCTTTTTTGGAAAATCAGTCCCTTCCAAACTTGTGGGTCACAAGAGGTTGATCGATCCTATGTAGAGTGTCGGCTACATTCAAATAAGCTTCATACTCGATGTCGTCCGGGGTAGTGTCGTAGTGATAATGCCCTGCTTCGTTGTGATGGCTGAAGCTGTGAAAATGTTGCACTCTCAGGTCGAAATCCTGAAAAACGTTTACTTTTTAATACTCTAGGTCAGGAATTTTTTAAAAAAATTTCCCCATACTGGCACGTCCTGCGATAGGAATGCACCAAGTGCAATCAAAGGAGCAGACATTTCAAAAAACCTGAGCCATTCGTTGAGATCTTTTTCAGTGTTGAGCGGCTTTTCAGAGAAGTCTTGCATAACATGTTGTCTCACTTTTCCTTTCTTTACAACAAAAAGTCCACCCATGCCTTTAAGAAAAAGTAATTACATTTAAAAAATGAGGGTAATAAAATACAAAATAAATTACCAATGTATTTATCATAGAAATGATTAGCAAGCGAAGTCCTCATGGCTGTGACAAAATCCAGATTTCCTTTCCTCTTTTTACAATTTACTTTCAATACCTAAATTGTTCTTAATTATATTTTAAGCACTTTTAAAATTTTAAATTTTTAAGGAAAAAAAGAAAGAAAAACCTTAGATTCTTTTCCTTCTGACACAAAAAAGTTTGCCAGTAGAGCAAACCTGCTTTCATCTTTTGAAATGAACTCCACTTCCATTTTCCCGGTATCTTTGGATATTTTAGAAATAACAGTACCACTGTCAACCTTTCCATCTTGAACAACTACATTCGCTATCATCTACCAAGAATGGTTTTCTTGTCATTAAATTATGAAAATAAAAAGATTTTTTTAAAGTAATATACAAGAGATTTGTTCATGTACTTCACAGTTGGTGTTAGCGTAAGGCCAGGGTCCGGCTCCGGCTCCGACAATGAAGCAAGGATTGAGGTTGACAGTTTTAGCGACATCACGAAAATCGTATAATTTGTCACGGAAGACATTGGGCAAAAGATAAGGTGGCCCTCCAACATCTACTACTGCTGTCGATCCTCCTAGTCCTGGACAAATGTATACCAATTTTATTTATTTAATTGTTATAAAAACTGTTTTTATTTTACCTTTTGACTTCAGACCAAAAGGTTCTTTAGTGAGGTCGGGACAGTCGACAACGTCAACAGACACTTCGGCAAAATTGCTTTTCAGGCCGTTTGTTAATGCTAGGAAAAAAATTCTATTTTATCCAAAAACTTAAACATATAAAATCTCACCATACTGAAGTTCTTCTAAATTTGGTTTGTACAGCTTCTTCACTTTATTCATTTTTTTCCTTTTCTTCAAAATCTAAAATCACCCAATTTGTAACTAAAGTTGTAATATACAAATTTTTAAATAATGTTAATATTTAAACTTTACGAGTTTATTATTTACAGTATAATTTGTCATTCTATTGAGAAGTTATTATGGGGAGTAGAAGTGTAATTAAATGCTTATTTACCCAAATGATTACTCTTGTGGAAAATCACGGTTCAACAATGGAATAATTTGTTGAATCTCTAATAAAACAATAGTAAATAAGTAAGCTTGTACTTGCTTAAAAATAATTTATCTTGTAAACCTATTTCTAATAATCACTGAACAGTACACGTCTCTGTTTGTTGTGAAATGGTTGTTTGGTATTTAAATGTGATTATTATGATAATACCACCTGTAAAGGATTAAGATTTTGAGGAGATAGTTAAAAATCCGTTTTCTGTATTATTCGTCTTCATTTCAATTAAAATTATGTTTTAATAGATCTCCGAAGTTCCATAGCTTTAAATGCATAGCCATGATTTTTTCTGGTCATTTTGTTATCTTATGACGATGTTCTGACTTATACAACCATTTTCCTGTAACCTGAGTTATTGATTTTTCACAGAGAAAAAATTATACGCCTTGTCAGCTTGCCAGAAATGAGCTTTATCAAATGAATGCAAATGATACACATAAATATGTATGAATCTGATACAAATACAATATTTTATTGAGCTAATGGATATTCAGTTTCACAGATAAATTTGCAAATTTTGAAATGAATTTAAATTAATTAAATTTTTCTCTTATAAAATAACAACTTTTTATTTATTTTTCATAAATTATTAGCATACAATATTTATGATAGCTGAGTTTGTGTTAATTCTTACTATTGTTATTAATTTCCTGTTGGAATAGGATTTACCTAAAATAATTTTTGTATAAATAAGCTTTTAGTATATCGTATCATATTTTTAATAATCTTACATTGTAGTTACTACAAAATTCTAATAATGCTGCTTACTATTCTACTACTAATGTTACTAACTTCACGTTGAAATAGGACTAATATAAAATACTTTTTGTGTAAATAAACTTTCAATATTATATAACATTGTAACTGGAGCCTCTTTTGCCATTTCTCGCAATCCGCTGGCAATTCCAGCTATTTTAATTTACAATAAATTCCTGTCAGGCTTCAAGAATCACTCTGCTTTTCAGCAGCCTGGGGGTCAGTTGGGCTTTGGTCTTATCCATCCAGCCACCGAGGAGATGGCTCCAGGGGTATCAACAGCTAGGTCATTTCAGCACCCAACACTATCAGTTTCTAAAACCAAACCTCTCTCTCTCTCTCGCTTTCCTATTATTTGAGAGTCGATGAGGTACTCAATATTCAGCCATTGGCCCTCTCATACTAAACATCCACGCCAATAAATACATTCACTCTCAACACACACTAGAGACACAATCAGTACCATATAAAATAAAACACCCACTTTTCCTCCAAGGATTAAAACAGGGGACCCAGCCTGAATGGCATTTCTCCGTGCTCTCTACATGAAGCCAAGGAATCGCACGTTCAGTTAGGTATGTAACCTTTCTCTAATTCTTATTAATGAATTGCACTACCAATGTTACTAATTTCATGTTGGAATAGGACTAATCTAAAACTGTTTTTGTACAATGTACATTGCATTTTTATTTATTTTATATTGGAGTGACTAAAAATGCTTACTAATGTTAATTGTTATTCTACTAATATCGTCGCTAATGTCATATTTGAAGAGGAACAACCTTTCTATTAACTACTAATTTGTAACTGCTGCTTACTAATCTACTACTTTTGCTAGTAATTTCATATTGGAGGGACTGCTAACGCTTACTGATGTTGTTTGTTATTTACCACTATTGTTAGTATGTCATGTTGGAATAGGGCCAACCTGAATTCCTTTTTTCTACAAATAAACTTTACACATTATTTAGTATTTATTTTATTTGGAGTCTACTAATGTATTTGTTATTCTTCTACTATTTTTCAAATGTCATGTTGGAACAGGAACAACCTAAATTACTTTGTGTGCAAATAAGCATTACTCTTTATATTTATATTTATTTTATATTAAATTTACTATTAAATCTTTCTAATGCTGTTTACTATTGTACTAATAGTATTACTAATTTCATGTTGAAATAGGACTAATTTAATTTTTTTTTTAAATATATCACATTGTTACCTATTTTAATTGGAGTTACTACTAATTCTGACTAATGCTGCTTACTATTCTACTACTATTGCTATTAATTCATGTTGGGATGACTACTAATACTTATTAATGTTGTTTGTTATTTACCACTTTTATTAATCATGTCATGTTGGAATAGGACCAACCAAAATTCCTTTTTGTATAAATAAACTTAATATTTGTACTTATTTTATATTGGACTTAGTATTAACTTTAAACTTTATATATTATATTAGTACTTACTTATTTTACACTGAGTTACTACTAATTCTTACTAATATTGCTTATTATTGTTCTATTAATGTAACTAATTTCATGTTGCTTTTTATTCTACTACTATTGTTATTAATTTTATATTCGAGTGACTACTAACGCTTATTAATGAGGACTGTTATTATACTAACATTTTTACTAATGGCATGTTGTAATAGGAATAATATAAATTATTTTTTATACAAACATATTTGTATTTCTTTTGTACTGGACTTAGTACTCATTCCTACTAATGCTGCTTAGTATTGTACTACTAATGTTACTAATTTCATGTTGGAATAGGACAAATTTAAAATACTTTTTACACAAAAACAAACTTTCAATAATAATAAAATTTCTACTTATTTTATAGAGGAGAGATGCCTAATCCTTACTAATATTGCTTGTTATTCTACTTCAATTGTTACTAATGTCTTGTTGGAATAGGAAAAAACTTAAATATTTGTACTTATTTTATGCACAACTTACACTTAAATTCTTAGTAATCCTGTAATCCTGCTTGCTATTCTACTACTAATGTTACTAATTTCATATTGAAATAGGACAAATCTAAAATACTTTTTGCAAAAGAACAAACTTTCAATAATAATCAAATTTTTACTTATTTTATATTGGAGTGATGATTAATCTTACTAATATTGCATGTTATATTACTATTGTTACTAGTGCCATGTTGGAATAGAAAAAAACTTAACTATTTGTTAGGAATAATTTAAATTACTTTTCATTCAAACAAACACATTTGTATTTCTTTTGTACTGGACTTAGTACTCATTCCTACTAATGCTGCTTATTATTGTACTACTAATGGCACTAATTTCATATTGGAATAGGACAAATCTAAACTACTATTTGCATAAAAACAAACTTTTTACAATAATCAAATTTTAATTATTTTATAGAGGAGTAATGACTAATCCTTACTAATATTGCTTGTTATTCTACTACTATTGTTACTAATGTCACGGAATAGGAAAAAATTTAAATATTTGTATTTATTTTGTACAAAACCAAATTCTTACTAATCCTGTTTGCTATTGTACTACTAATGATAATGAATTTCATATTGGAATAGGACAAATTTAATTTTTTTTCACAAACTCAATAATAATGAAATTTTTACTTATTTTATATTAGAGTGATTACTAATCCCTACAAATTCTGCTTGCTATTCTACTACTAATAGAATTTATTGTATATGCTACTAATTTTATTTTGTAATAGGGCTAAGCAAAATTACTTTTTGTACAAATAGACTTTCCACAATGTACTTGTACTGATTTTATATTGGGTGATTACTAATCCTTACTAATACTGTTTGTATTCTATTACTCTCATTATTAATTTCATATTGGAGTGATTTCTAATGCTTACTAACTTTGATTGTTACTCTACTATTAATGTTACTAATGCCATTGGAAATATGAACAATCTAAATTACTTTGTGTACTTATTTTATTCTATTGTTGCTACTCATGCTGCTTGTACTACTAGTATTGTTAATATTTTCACGTTGGAATATAAATAATGTAAAATACTTTTTGTACAAATCATATTTCATTATATTTTTATCCATTTCTTTGCTGGAATAGAACTAATGAAAATATTAACTCTCTAATATAAAAGAGATAACGCATTGTGCCAGTTTTTGTATTGGTTCGTTTTGATTTATATGTTGTGTTTTAATGCAGATTGGTTGATGACAATTTGACGGTCAAAATTGCAAGTTGCAAGTCATTCGACAGGTTGTCGACAAGAAACGCGTGAGGAATTTGTCTTGTGCAACAGTATTCAACCTGCAGCCCTCTCACGGCCTGTTCAGCAACACAAGTTGTCACTGACTACATTGACAACGTACGTGTCAAATGTCATTTGTCAAAGGATATTTTTTATAAGCCAGCTGATAAAAATCCCGTCAGTTTTGGTTTTAAAACTAATAATTACCCAATTGTCGGACAGTAGTCGGTACTATGTACTCCGTCGAGCAGAGTAAACCAAAACGTACTAGACTGAACCGAACAATTTCCTTTGATGTAAAAGTTAACGGGAGCTTTGTATCCCCACCATTGACCTCCTTCTTTATCTAATCATTTTTTAAATTTACGTTAATTGCGAACTGTACAATCGTGGGAATCGGTAAAAAAAGGTCAACATAATGAGAGTGTAATTATCATCTTCATTTTATGAAATGTTTTAATGTCAGCACAGCCTTTATACTATACATCAATGCTGCCGTTGAGATACCTTCATGGTACTAGAGAGAGGGTCATTGTTAAAAAGCTAATTCATTCAGTCTCGTGAACGATAAGCGTTTAGAAACGCACTCCTAAAGAGTGCGTTAAGAATTTCATTCAATATGCTACATTTAGCTTAAAGCCTAATGTGTTAATTAGGCGTAAGTGTAATGTATGTTTTCAGTGTAATGTCTTATTGCTTTCAATAGTACTCAAGAGTCAAAACAGTCTTCGATGAAATGATCAGGCAATTTACAGTTTCTTCCGTAATTTTGCTAGTGTGCCAAGTCTCATTCGCCAAAATAGTGGAACAGGTATTAACCTGTTTAGGGATGGTTAGGGTTTCCATTTTTCCACCATTTTGAAAAGACGATTCTGTAATTAGCTATTTTTCAACCGGTTCTGGAGACACTTCTTCATCAGGTCAGGTACTAGGAATAACGTTCCAGGCTACCTGTAAACACATGGGGACACAGAACACATGGGTAATTAGCAAGCCGGTGTACTGGCAAAGAATGGAGTCGGTATGAAAAATTCTAACCCCGAACCCTACTGCACTGACTAACAATTTGCCACAAGAGAGGTCAGATTAAAAAAATTCACTAGTTTAGATGAAATCACGGATCATCCTCGTGGATCAACACCCCAGGGATGAGACATGCGAGGAATTTCATTCACACACGCAAAACTCAGGGGTAACGAAATAATAGCCTGCTGACTGGATGGATTACGTGCAGAAGAAAAATTGTGCAGATTTGTATCAAGACCAAGGGACATGTGCTGTGCTATTGTGAAAATCTATCCAGGCGTAGGTTCCGCTTCTAGATGAGGATGAATTGCAAGCATCTTCTATATAAAGGAACCACTAGCCAGGTTATGGAACCTGATTAATAGTGTAAAGCTGACTAGTGAATAGTGAGCTATAAATCAGAGGGCACAATAGATAAACAGAGATCATGCTCTGGCCTATTCTTCGACTTCGAGAAGTTGCACCGCATGGAGATGTGCGATACTAAGGAAATATCTAATACTAAGGAAATTACCACGATTTCTTCAGGCTTTCCTTAAAATCGCAGATCCTGTGCCAGCCTGGAATTCGTACTATCCAGGGATCACGTACAAGAGATCGGTATCCCACAGGGATCGGTTATGAGCTTGACGCTATTTCACCTAGGGGTGAACGGAATCGCTGACTGTATAACCCCACATTTAATTGCTCTTTGCCGATAACCTTTGCTTCTACCTCTTTAGTAGAAATATAGCAGAGGTTAATGGAATGATGCAGTGGGTGATAAATGTTGCGACAGCTTGCACTGAGGAAGCAGGATTCACGTTCCCTTTTTCAAAAACTGTATGGGTCCTTTTTACAGATAGAGGTACGTACGTCGGTCGTACGTACTATGAAAAGTTAAGATGGCAGTCTCACATATTGAAGCCGCGCGTGGAAGCGAACCCTTGAAATTCGGCATATATGACCAGAATCGAACCGAAATCAATCATAATAGATGCATTTATGCCGATGTTTAGGCCACCTCTACCTATACATTTATCAGCTGCAACATGTCCATTTTGATTTATGTAATTTTGGTATAATACACATCATTACCATGCAGAACGTTGTTTTATCGTTCGGGATTTCAATGGGACAAATAGTATCACTTTCAAAAAATGGGATTACTAACAGATGTGTAATTACTAGATTACTAACTATATCTATAAAACATGAAGTTGATCCTGGGTATTGGTTTGCGAGTCGATGAACTCATACTTAAACAAGTCACTTGGGTCCGCCTTCACTCGGGTTTGTTGAACGACTGTATCGCGTTTCGGCTTTGCGCCGTCTTCAGTGATGAACTGTCACTTAGACCGAGTTGGACTGTGGGGTAGTATGAACTATGGGCTACTAAAAGATTTCCAAAGCAGACTAAGTCTAGAGGACAACAACGAAACACATCCTATGAACCTATCCTTTTACAACCCTGCAATACCTAGGAAAAGGCTATGGTACCTACGTGGTCCATATAGACCTAGATATCATACCCAAAAGAAGAATCTATACTTCATACAAGAAACGAAAATCCTCCAGGAAAACAATTAGGAGAGATGGGGACAGAATATACGAAAATTTAAGTGCTAAAGGGGAAAAGTTACTTAATAGCTATTAATACTTACTCTAGACCGATTTCATTCGGTACTTGTCTCAAGTAGACAATTTTGAAAAAACAAGCCACAAAATTAAGAAAAAAATCACACGTTTGAAGATATTTTCAAGTTGAACTTAGCGACCTTTGGATTGATGTAACATAAAAATTTGCCAAATGGTTTCCTCATTGGCGGTTTTTTTTGGAACTTTTCAGCCATTTCGTGTCTTTAGCTTTTTACGGATGTACATCTTCGATCTTTAAAGATAGATAAAGTGCCATTTAAAAATTTAAAATTGTCTAGGTCTCGGCCTTTCCACGCTTACATAAGGTAGTGCAACAAAGGATGGCTCGCTTCGGTACAGCTCGTTTCTTGGCAGCAAAACTTGTTTGGGCGAGTTTCAGAGCAGAAAACAAGTCGTATTGTTACAAAAAAAAAAAAAAATCTCATTTCCATCTCGTCCGACCAAGGCGACTGGTCGGTTTGGGATAGATTATTTAAATGTAAAAAACTTAATTTCAAATATGAACTTGGAATTGTGGGTTTAAAAGAAAAAAATTGTGACGCTTTTGGTCAAAATTTTTGGATTAACTGATGATTCTTGCTTGTAAAAATATTCTACGAAAGAGGATCAAATTAAAATCCAGAACGCTGAGAAAAAATGAAAATATTAACATTAAAAATATTAGCCTAAAAACGATACAACAGGACAAATAGGGTAAAAATATTTTCAACCATTTTTATTGATGATTTCATATATTCAGATAGTTTCTTATTTTAAAAATGTTTATTTATTTTGTATTTTGTAATATCTTTAGAAAAATATATTAACATATACATTTTGCAACATTACAGTCAGAATTGTATGCATGTTTGCAACATATTTCTCTGTAAAGCTTTATATTTATGCTAGAATTTTTATCCTTTTGCGGTTCCTGTAAAATTTAAAGTTGTTTAAAGAAACCGTTGTATTAGTAATAAAAAAAATGAAAAGAGAATTCCTGATCCGAGGAATGTTCAAGGAGGCTCGTCCACGCCGTCATCATCAGCAAGTCCCCAACCTTCATTCCCACCCCCTACCTTTTACCCTCCGATTATATAACGAACTTGATTCCTCCTGTCTGTAACTTCGTTCTCCTACGATCATTCTCACAACGCGAATCCGCCGGAATGGTAAGTACCAAGAGCAATTCTCCCTTCTTGGCGTGCTTCACCCCAGGGTGCTTATCAAGTCTCTTAACACGCCCCTGAAGACTTTCTTTTGACGCTTTGATAATGTACATGGCTAATTTTTACTTAAAAATTATCAATTTGACTTTAAGCAGTGAAAAAATATAGTATATATAGAATATATAGAAATATATTTTTTTAATTTAAAAAAACATTACAAAACATGCCAAATAGACAGTTTAAAAATTTCTTGGAGTATCTTAAGAAATCTAATATAAATTGGACAAAATAAAGCGAAAATGTACTGAAAATATTGATAATATAAGTAAATATAAATTTATATTTGTTTTCGAGGAAAAAGTGACTTATGACTTCCTTATGACAATGTGGGATTATCAATTTAATTTTACAATAAACTTTTTTATTTTTAATTAACAGAAGCTTATAATTGATAGGAAAAATCTTAAAGAAAAAATCATACATTTGTCAAAGGTTAATATTTAACATTTTTAATAATAGAGCGATTTCCATAAACAAACATTCATCTACACGCTTAAAATCATTATGCAATTAATTTCATTTGTGAGATATTTTAAATGTGTTATTTATAAAATATTATAAAGAATATACAAAAAAGTTAAAATAGAACAAAGGATATTTTTTTCTCGGCATTTTTGTGTATTTTAACGCACGCAGGACATGCAAAGATCATCAGCAAATTTCCCAAATGTTTCCAAAATGTCTCTATTACTGTGTATTTTAGGCAAAGATTAACATTTACAATTATGTATCAAGTAACTATTGTGCTACTTGTAAAGAAAACGTTTTGATAAGTAATTATAAACTTATAAAACACAAACTTTTTCGATCCGTTTATCAAATGTCGAATTTAAAATCGGCTTTACAAGAGCGGGAACGATTCCATGCTAGAAAGTGTTTGATATTTTATGTATTTACACAAAAATGCCAATTAAAAAAAATATAATAATAAAAAACAGGTTTATTTTGGCTTTCAGCTTTAAAAAAATCTGTTTTTACTTTTTTTTGTTCTTGACCAAGCTGCCACAAAACGCAACAAGCTCCCACCATTTTGTTTTTGTTCCATTTCCATAAGATAAATAAATCTTCGAACGATTGTCAGTTGAACGAGTATACTGACGAATTCCATTGCCAGAATTGAAAAAAATTAAAAAATGTTCAATTATTGATTACATTTATCGTTCGTTTTATCCACCACCGAAATCAACGGTGGTATTAATACTCGTCATCCTGGTACTATTTTTCAAAAATGACCTTGCCGACGCATTTATTAAAAAATGTCGTCCCTTACGCAATAAACTTGGAGAGTAAACAATATATTTTTTGACAAACTCAACATAGAAGTAGATTGTACACGCCATTGCGATACACATTTAGCAAAGATATTAAAGTCTGAAAAAAATCATGCAAATAAATATTTTTTAAAATGTTTTAACTCTCGGAAAAGTTTTTAAAACACAAACTGTCCACTAAAGAAGAGAGTAGGCCAGAACACGTGGATAGATCAAAAGATGATCAAATTACATCTTAACAAGAATCTAACAATTTTAAAATTGTTAATAATAACTTAGCCTGGCTAGCTGTGTTCCTGTGGTCTGTGGGGGATGAACCTATAATTTGATCTTTACCGATCTTAGTCTCCCTATCCTCGCTAGGTCTGAAGATCAACCTGGTCTGTATATTGTTGTGAATTATACCATAGAAAAGGAGCAAAAAAACCACACAGATCAATCACCAAAGAGACAAAATGCCAGAACAGTTCGGAAGACCGGGTTGGTCAAAGACGACCTAATTGCACAGACTTTTTCTATTTAATTTAAAATTTAAAATCTAAATCTATTTAATTTAAAATTTGTGAGATATGTATCGGGTTGTCCGGAAAATAATGCAGGATTTTAAGTTTTCATTAAAAAAAATCTATATAAAATATTCTGTTTACGTTTACAGGATTACTCATTTGTATGAATGTCAACACTTATTAATCCTCTTCCAAATGATATTGTTTGTTTACCTCTGTAGCATTCCGCTACTTGGAAATAATTCAGTCATCCTTATAATGTCAAAGCGAGAATTTCGTACGATTTTCTTTTACGAGTTTAAACTCGGCCGAAGCGGAGCCCAAACGGCTAGAAACATTAACCAAGTCTGGGGCGAGGGTTGTGTTAATGAGTGCACTGTGCAAAGGTGGTTTAAAAAATTTCGGGAGGGAGATTTCAGCCTTGAAGATGAAGAAGGTCGTGGAAGGCCTTCCTCTCTTAATGATGATGTTCTGCGATCAGTGGTGGAAGAAAACCCCAAAACAACTGTTCGAGAACTTGCAGAGCAACTCAAAGTCAGTAAAACGACCGTCGCTGACCACCTCAAGGCGATTGGAAAAGTGAAAAAACTCGAAAATTGGGTTCCACACTCATTAAACGATCGCCAAAAAATCAGCGCTTTGATGTTTGTGCATCACTTCTTTGTCGAAACAAAAATGACCCATTTCTGGCCAGAATTGTTACATGTGACGAAAAGTGGATTCTCTACGATAACACTAGACGTTCTGGACAGTGGCTCGACAAAGGAGAAGCTCCAAAGCCCCCAACTCATCAAAAAAAGGTAATGGTTACGGTATGGTGGGCTTCATTTGGTTTAATACACTACAGCTTCTTAAATCCTGGCGAAACCATCAATGCTGAATCATACTGTAACCAAATTAATACCATGCATCAGAAATTGGCAGTAATGAAGCCCTCTTTGGTCAATCGGAAAGGGCCCATTTTGTTGCATGACAACGCTCGACCACATGTGTCACGTGTAACGTCACAAAAATTATTGGAGCTTGGCTATGAAACTTTGCCTCACCCACCCTACTCTCCGGACCTCTCGCCTACTGACTACCATTTTTTTAGACACCTGGACCACTACTTACAACACATAATACGGAACTGGAAAATGCATTTATTGACTTTATCAATTCTAAAAATTCTGAATTCTACTCAGACGGAATTAATAAGTTACCAACACGTTGGGAGAAATGTATTGAGAGTATGGGAAATTATTTTGATTAAAGAACATTGCTTTAAAGTAACTAGTTTCTTTTTTTTTGTTTAATACCAAAATCCTGCATTATTTTCCGGACAACCCAATAATTTAAGAGAACATGAACTTGCAGTTATGATTGTCATTAATCAACCTGATCTGCCTCTTTTCTGTTTTATAATCCAATGATAGACAAAACAGCGTCAATAAGAAGACAAGGTGATACAAAATGATAAAACTATATTTTATTATTTATTATAAAAACATCTATTGTAAAAATAGCCAATCTGTTTAGCAGTCAAATAGCAAAAGCCTATGATAATTTTAGGTCTTATTACATTTTAATTAATTTTGAAAGATATGGATCAGGACGATTGAAGATTAAGAAGCTAGGGAAAATTGTCAGGATAAATTTTGAAAATTTTCAATCTTTATAATCATAAATTTGAATAGTAAATAGAACAAAAAGTATATCTAGTATAATAGTAAAAATTTGGTGGATGTTGGCTGGCGTACATATGTTGAACTGGCACTGGGTTACATATAGGCCCCATCTAAGGGAGATAATTCCTCACTGAACGTGGCACAAAGATGAACCCTTGCTTAGAGACACCAAAACTTGTGAGTGTCCAGTATGAGCTCAGCATAATTGTAAAAGTTACGAGGAAACAAATTTACATGACTTAATACAAATGTCATCATCTATGGAAATATTACTCCTTAGTACAAATGTATGTTTTATTGTTTTTAAATAATTTAGAGGGTTTGAAAAATTACATTTTTTTTTTTTGTATTTGAACATACAAAAACTTTTACACCCTTGTATTATACAATTTTTATTCTTTTTTTTCAGACTACCTACACGAATAAAGGCCCAAAGGTATATTCCCTCTTCTTTGTAAATGCTAAAAGAGTTGTACATTTATTTTTAATTTGTACTTTTTTTCTAGCCTGAAGCTGGGCGATTTCTCTGCTTTGATCATGTAGTCTTTTGGGTAGGAAATGCAAAACAGGTAAATTCTGTTCAAATATTTATTGTTTTGATGCACACTAAATTTTCTACATTTTAATTTACTTTTTTTTTTTAAACAAACAAATTAGGCTGCAAGTTATTATTGCTCGAGGCTAGGCTTTGAACCTTTGGCCTACAAAGGTTTGGAAACAGGATCGAGGGAATATGCTGCACACGTTGTACAGCAAAACAAGGTAAATTGAATCATGTTGAAAGTTTTCAATAAGCGTTAGTTCACGTCCTGTTTAAAAATTTCAGATTAGATTTGTCTTCATGTCTGCTTACGAACCGACAGAAAAAGAACTCAACCATCATTTGATGAAGCATGGTGACGGTGTCAAAGATGCTGCATTCAGTGTAGAAGATATCGATGCGATAGTTAAAGTATGTGGTGTTTATTATTATTATTAATTGATTTTTAAATTAATTAATTTGTTAAATAGAAAGCAAAAGAAAGAGGAGCGACTGTTGTAAAAGACATTTGGGAAGAGAAAGATGAGTTTGGCTCTGTGAAATTTGCTACTGTTAAAACTGTAAGTGATATTAATCATTTAATCAACATCATGTATTATCTATGATTAATTTTTAGTTTGGAGATACAACCCACACTTTTGTCGATCGTTCCAAGTACAAGGGATTATTTTTGCCAGGTTATCATAAGTCACCAGTTAATGATGTACTGCTTAAGCAATTGTAAGACTTAAAAATATAATTTATATTTAAATAAATATTTCTTTTAATAATAATTCTCTTTAGGCCACCAGGAAAATTAGATTTCATTGACCACATGGTTGGCAACCAACCAGACCTCTGTATGGAAGAAGTTGCCGATTGGTTTGTTGCATTTAATATCGAATTACAATATTTAATTTTTAATATACTACAAATATGTTTTTATTTTAAAAGGTATGAAAAAAACCTTCTTTTCCATCGGTTCTGGTCTGTCGATGATACCCAACTGCACACTCAATACTCAGCACTTAGGTCAATTGTTGTAACAAACTATGAAGAGACGGTTAAAGTAATACACCATGCCAGTTTAATGTTTAAAAACATTATTAACATTTTACCACTTTTAGATTCCAATAAATGAACCTGCCCCTGGTAAAAAAAAGAGTCAGATTTCAGAATATGTGGATTACTATGGAGGCGCAGGAGTACAACACATAGCGCTTAACACTCAGGATATTATCAGTGCAGTACGTTACCATCGTATGTTGTTTTACAGTCAAATGTTCAAAACTTTTTTTTTATAGATAACCAACTTAAAAGGAAGAGGGCAGGAGTTTATGTCAGTCCCCGATTCTTATTACGACATGCTGAAGAAAAAACTCAAAGCTGACAACTTTGAAATCAAGGAGGATCTTAGTGTTTTACAAGTAACATTTTTATTATTTAATTATTAGTTTTCAAATTAAGCAACCCCGACCCTCTCTAATCATTTGTAATCACCTGTAACAACCGCTAAAATCAATATTTTTTCAGAAACTTAAAATTCTCATTGATTACGATGAAAACGGATACCTGCTGCAGATTTTCACGAAAAATATGCAGGACAGGCCGACACTCTTCTTAGAGGTCATCCAGCGTCATAATCACAACGTAAGAACTGGAAATTAAAACTTTTGTTACTCATTTTTAATCTGTCTCGTCCTTGTTTAGGGATTCGGAGCTGGAAATTTCAAGGCTCTTTTTGAAGCTATCGAAGCAGAACAAGCTGACAGAGGAAACCTTTGATTTTGTGATAATGGCTGTTTTTAGTTTTCAAATAAAGGAATTGTTCGATTAAATACGATTGCTGTTTTTGTTATGTCAATAAAATAATTTAAATTTACAAAATAATTTTGGTGTGTTTTTCCTTGTTATTTTAACTAAATGAATGAGGGAAAATGGTTAGGGATTTCTTTTATTATTAGCCCTATTGGGTTCAAATTTTGGCTTATTTGTTGAGAAGGAAACTGATTGAGTTTGGGATTAAGGAGGAACTGATTTCTCCTTCTTCTTCCTCAAAAAATAAACTTCAAAAATGAAATCAAACACTGTTTCATTGTACATTCTGCAGGAACATTAAACTTTGTTCTGACTAGGAAAGGAGAATAAACAGACTGATTTCAATAGTTAAAAGTATTTATAATTAATTTTTTTTTGTACACCAAAAGGCACCTGCACCACATGTAGGACAAAGTACTTTGTTTATCATTTGTTTTATGAAATTACACAAAGCAGTCGTTTTGAACCACAAAAAATAAAGGTTTTAATTTACCCAAAAGTATCATGCAGTACAAAAGTAACGGTACAATTGGTGTGAATGAGCAAGAACGGGTATTAGCTTTCTGCCAATTTGGAAATACAGCTTTTACAAAAGATTATTGCTTAAAATTAGATATTAATGATATTGTGCCTTAAAAATTGTCATGCAAAGATATCAAGCAGATATAATAACAATAACATCTTTATTAGAAGATTTTCAAAAATGCTGAATTGAAATTTTTGACTTTTTTTGTTTAAAGTCCATTTAAAACTGTATTTAGATTTTTATTATAAGTATTCTAATTGAAACTTTAAATTGACAATAGTCAAACTTTAAATAGTACTTTTTTTTGTTAAAAAAATGTTATTAATATATCTTCATTCAGTCAAACTGTTTTAGTGCAACATAGAAGCTAAATATTTTCGAAGAACAATATAACAGCAATGCTAAAATTGACTCGATTTTATAAAATATTGTTCAACAATCAAGGAACTTTCTGCCACCTCGTTAGAACTCACAATAGTAAGAAAATATATAATTTATATTTAAACAAATATTAAAACGGGTTTTATCATTCAACATGTTTTAATTTCCAAGGGACTGGAATATATCAACATATGTGTGCGAAATTTGTGAGAAAATATGACTGAAAAAGCCCCACTGTTGAAAAAAAAAATGTTAATGTTATTTTAATTGTTACTATATTGAAAAAGTCACAAAAAGACTATAGATCAAAAGACATTATTCCTCTTTTCTTCAGCATTGTTACAATATTTGACATCTAACCTACATAATTTCAAAAATAGATAATTGAGTATCATTATAAGGCTAATATAATCATCAATTATATTACCTTGGAAAGTTTCAAATAAAAAGATATCACGTTCTATAGTAGAAGCATCAATATTGGACAGTGAAATGTATTATTTTCGAACATTTTTTTTTAATATGAATAATATTAAATGTTGATAACAATTTGACAATTTCTTATTTACAAGAAGTGATTATTAAGAAAATATTAAATTTATATTATCATTTTCTATAGTATAGTTATTCAATTCAATATCAATTTTATTAATTTTGAAATTTGAGAAATTGAAGAATAAAAAATGGATTATTATCCATAAAAATAAAACGTGCCAGTCATCACAAAAAGTGGTTCTACAATTTTTGTTAATTTTATTAAAAATTATTTCTAAAATGAAAGAGTAAATATGATTCAACTAACACTCAGTCAGTGGAGTTACGTTCATTGACTCTTTCCGATCTTTTTTTGTAATATCATGCTTATTATATTATTTTTACGTTCTAGCTATGCTTCAAATTATTATTTAATTTAACTGAAAAAAATATTTTTTTAAGGCCTTGAACCAGCACTCAGTTCATCTACAGCCTTTGATGTTATTTAAATGAGATTCGGCCAAGCCCCCAGCTTCAGCGAGGATACAGTTTGAATAACATCAAAATCTGCGAGAGTAGATAGACCCAATGCTGGTTCCACACGTGTTCACTGAATTTTTTAAAACTGACTCACAGATGAACACACACCACCAACTTTGATTATATTGTACTTCATCATCAAGGTAAAGTATTTCCACTGACCAAGTACCAAAAAAATGAAGAAAATTCTTACATGCAATTAATAAAAATGACAATTATTAGGCAAAGGGAAATAAAAAATAATCATAATAATCTAATTCTGATAAAAAAAATTAAATTGGTTAATTTTTTCTTGTCAATTGTGTAAAACTACTTTATTATTTAAATTGAAAATATAATAATAATATATTATTAATTGAATTTATATTTTGAAACAAATTGACTTGTGGATGTCTTAAGAAAATCTTCGATGCATGCAGCATTTGGTACTTTTATGTATTTCAAGGAATAAAGGAAGATTTTATCAGAAAAAGTCAACTATCTACTTAGAAAAACCAATCTTAATCAAAAATCTTATCTTTAGAATAAGCCACTCTATCTTATTTGACCCAATGTTAGTTTTTTAAACAATACCGTTCAGCGTTTGTAAAAGTGTTTGCAACCAAAAACATGACAATTTTAGAAGAAGAAAAAAATTGTAAAAATGGAATACACATTTTTAAAAGCTTTACAATAAATACCATTTTGTATGAAGTAATGACACAGTTTAAATTTACAAATATATAAATATCTCACATTTTATTATCAAAGGCCTTTTTTTTGCTTTTTTATTATGCAAAACATATGTATGGGTTTAAATTATGTATAATCAATAATCATCACTTTAATACTTTTAATCAGTCCAGTATGTCTCACTTTATTAATATAAACCAATAAACCACTGCTCATGAAATATAGAAGAAAACAAACAAAAACAAATGTTTCACAATGATATAGAATATTTACAATTTATAGTTGGAAGATTAGTTTTATAAAATAGAAGTAAATCTACGTTTTAAACTTGTCCGAAAATGTTATTTATAGTAATTCTGCTATGATAAGATTATTTAGTCTTTTCTTTATTGACATAAATGTAAATTTTTTTAGCATGATTACAAAAAAATTGTTATGTATATGCGTTAGACATTTTTTGGAACAAATCGAATCTGAAAAGCTGCTCAAAAACTGCATATTTTGTACATAAACCTATGAAAATTTCCAGGTCTTGTGCTTTATTGATTAGTTTAAAAAATATAACTTAAAAAATTAGTTGTTAAGGAAAGTTCTAATGGAATGTATAAATCCAGTAGCCAATGTAAATGGGCTACTGCTCTTCCTCTGCTAAGGCTGTGATTGGGATGCCATGCGTATTCTTGCAGATTCCCTCGATCTGTTGTGAACTTCAGCTGTCCTAAGTGTAATGCCAAATATATCTTCATGATATCGGTTTTCATCCTAGATAACATATTTGTTAACTACATATTATTTTTTGTTATAGTTAAATATACCAACCCTCATAGACAACATATAAAGGTCTACTTCGTTGTCAGACATTCCTCCTTGTTCCAGAATTATCTGTCTCAGAGTTTTGAACACGTGTTCGGCCATTGTGCAGTCTCCGCAAACGTAGAAATGTCCTCTTTCAGTTACCAACTGTGTGTAGACACTTTTCGCTTCAACCCTTAGCAGGTCTTGGACATAGGTCTAAAAGGAATCAAATTAGTTTGTTATGCTAAAATATCAAACCAGGAGAGTTTTTTACTTTTGGGATCGAAGGCTCTCTTGACAATGCGAGGTACACTTTACTCAGAACGCCTTCTTTGACCATGGACTCCTTCTCATCCTGATAGAGATCTAGATTCCGCAGGCGGCAGCCGAAAAATAATGACATTTTTCCAAATTTATCTGGTCCTGAAATTGTTTCAAACTTAATAATATTACACAATCTTTTTTTTTTAAATCAATATAATGGAACTAAGTTATTTGTCATTAGCATTATCTATATTATTTGTATTTTTTCCAATAAATTTGAACTGAAATTGATCAAACTTAATATCAGCAAGGAATACAATATCAAGTAATAAATTCTTTTATTTTAGTTGTTTATTGATTAAATCTCCAGCATGGTTATACAAATGTTAATTAAGAAATAAAGTGTGCTAAGATTATCTTTTTCAAAACACAAACATACACGTTGAACCAGCACTGGGTCGCTTACTGGGTCGCTTCTCGCTTAAGATGGGACAGAGTCAAAATGTGTTTTCGTAACATCAAAAAACCTGTGAGAGTAGACCCAGCAAGCAAACCGATGATGATTGATGTGTTCACCAACTCACAGATCAACCATCAATATAAACTAAAAAATAAAATACCACAAGTCAAATGATATTGCAACATATTTATTTAATGTGTGGTGTTTATTGATTGTTAGTTGATGATATTTGGAGATTGTGAGATGTGGTCTGGTGTGATGTAGGTTTCAAAAAACGTTTTCTTTATCGTGCCAATGTTTTGATCTTTATTGAGATACCTACACCACATCAAACCAAATGTCACGATCTCTAAATAATCATATTTTTTTAAATTAATGAATTTTTTTTTAAAAGTTTGATTTTTTATTGACTATGGATACAAGGAACTGGAGGAATTAATTTACAATTTTTTGAACCTTTTAAGTATCTTAAAACGTTTTTCAAATGCTTCCATTGTGTTGGACTGAAATTATGCTGAAACTGACTGAAGAATGTAATTGCAAAACATAAATCTGGTCGTGTACCTAACATCAAATACATTAAACTTCCAACCAGTTCTCTATATGGCAAAACACAATCAGTAGGATTATAATTAATTAAGTCAAATTTAAGTCCAACAGGCAGAGGTACAGCACTTTCTTTACAATTAGTTATCTTAAATTTATCTAAAATCTTATTAATTAGATCATTTTGTGATAAATACATTTTATCATTTTATTTATCCCTTTCAATTTCAATTCCCAGAAATTTATTTTTCTTCCCATTAGTATTAATAATTGCTTTAATCTCATATTTTGATTTTAACAAATTTATAATATCTGAAAACTCAACCTCTTTATCAGTTACCAAAATTATATCATCTACCCATATTAGTAAATATGTATTAACCCTTTTATACAAACAAGGATCTACGTTACTCCTTACAAAACCCATTTTTATAATATAAGAATTAAAACAATCATTCCATTCTTTTGGTGCACATTTTAATCCATATAACGACTTAATCAACTTACAAACATATCCTTCCTGAATGTTCTTTCATCCTGCAGGTGGTTTCATATAAATTGGTTCCTTCAGTGTCCCATTCAGAAATGCTGCTTTTTTATCAAGCAGATGAAGTCTTAATTCTTGCCGTAGTGAAAAAACTAATAGTGCTCGTAGTGTCACCATCCGAGCTACTGGTGCATACAGATCAACTTCAACCAGTTCTTGAAGAAAACCACATGCAACTAAGCGAGCTTTCTTAATTGGCATTGGATATGGTCTTTTCAGTAAAAACCCACTTTGAATCAATTAGTTTCACACCTTGAGGTTTAGATACCATTTCCCATGTTGTTGTTTTTTTCATGATTCTGTAGCTCCTCAGTAATGGCTTCATCCCATCCGTCTCTTGAGTTGATTGCTTCATTATAAGAAGTAGGCACCTCAGAAGATAAATGCCCCGCAGATAGTGCCATCATTAATTCTACTTCAAAATCATCATACCTTCTAGGCAATCTCTTTACTCTTGAAAATTGCCTCTGATCCTCTTCTTAAGCTTCTTCTTCTGGTGTAGGTTTCACTTCTTCTGGTATAGGATGATTGTCCTCTTTGGCAGAAACTGGTACTTCATCTTCCTCAGTATTAATGATAGGTCGATTTTGTGATTCATCAAATTTTACAGAACAAGCAGTAATTATTTTGCGCTCATCAGGATACCATAATCGAATAATCGATAACCATTTCCAATCATTATAAGCTGTTTACACCTTTCTAATAATTTTCTATCTCGATCCTCCTTGGGTATATGTGCAAAATCCCAACTTCCAAATACTCTAATTTTTTCTAGGTTGACTGGTCTATTGAACCAAACTTCAGCTGGCATCTTCCCAGTTGCTTTTATAAAAAGTCTGTTAATTGTATATATTGACGTTCGTACGGCTTCTCCCCATAATTCGTTATTTAAGCCTGAGTCAATTATAATGAATCTGGTCATATCTAGTATTGTGCAATTCATGCGTTCACATATTCCATTTTGCTCCGGATTACGTGGTATGTTGTATTCTAATGTGATACCATGTTCCTTACAGTACTGAATAAATGAGTTTGAGACATATTCTCCTCCCTTATCTCAACGAAAATATGATATTTTTTTATGAAAATGTGCGGAGACTTTTGCATGATATTCCCTAAATTTATCATATACTTCTGATTTTATTTTTAGTAGGTAAACATATGTAAAATGTGAATAATGATCTTCAAAAGTTGCATAATATTTGTAGCCATCATAAGTTAAGGGTGTAAACGGACCTTCTACATCTGAACTCACTTGAACTAGTTTATTCTTGACATATTCATTTGTAATATTATCTGCATTCTGAGAAAATAATATATCTAGGGAACTTGTAATAGATTCATAGGATTTTGGCATAGCTAATAATAAAGTCGAAATTATGTCATCTTTGTCAAGCTTTGATCCAGCATACTCTAATTCCTGTACCGTCCTGAAGAATGTTTCAAAGAAATTTACCAATGTATTTTTCTTCTGATCAAATTTCATTTCTATAAGCTGTCGTTTCGATTCCACCTTTGCAGATAAGCCGACATTCATGTATGTAGTTTTTAGAGCTTCATACATTTTCTTTGCAGTTGTTTTTGATCTCACAATACCGAGCACTTTGTCCGCTAAAGATTGAACAATAATATCCTTCATCTTTACAGAGTTTTCTGTAGTCAGCCACAGTCAACCTTTCTTCCTTTATTTCCAGTGCCTGAAGACAATTTTCCTGATCTAGTTGTGTCTTTATTCTGAATTCCCAGTCAAGAAAGTTCTTTCCATCAAACGGTTTCAAATTTACCAGTACGGCAGATGTAGACGCCATGTTTGCAAACGAACAAAAACAAACTTCCAAGCAAGTCCTAATAAATTAACATTAATTACACTCAACACCTCTTGTGAAAGAAAAGATTTCACACAAGTTCTTTCACTGTTCCTGGGCCCATAACCTGTTGTTGGGAACAATAAAAAGAGCTTTTAATTATAAAAAGAGCAATACACAAACAGGTGTCGGCGGAATAACTAACAAAGTATCAAACTAACAACTTCCCTCTACTAAAGTTACTGGTGTAACCAACATTCATTTTCTAAATTTATCTGCCAATAAACTCCCCCTGAGCACTACAGTTTTAGAACTTATTGTACTCTTTCCTGGTTTCATTTTGGGAGCTCACAACAAGATATGTGTAAATTGAGCCCCCTCAGTGTGCCGGTGTTTTTTCATCAAAGAAACTCAATTTTGAAGAGGATCAGGACCGAATTCAGGGTCTCAGAAACATCCTGCCAGACCTTCCAATGCTTCCTTTATGCATCAGAAAAATCCAGAGGCGACAGTGAGAATTGTTTGTGGTATCTACTAGCTGAGAATGTAACACCTTAACCACATGCTTATCACTGTCCTTCTATGCAGCTTTTGTAATTTATAAAAATGTTAAATATTAAATTTTCTGTTATTTAATTTATACAAATTTACCATTGAGGCTTCTTTCGGCCAGTCTTTGCTGCCAGAAGCCACGGAAGGGAGCTATACCAGTTCCTGGGCCTACCATGATTATAGGCGAGTTTGCCTCTTTTGGAATGTGAAAGTTTGGCGCGCTGGAAATAAATTAAACTGTCATTAAAAGTAATGTTTAATGTGGCGTTATATTATTTTACCTTCGCACAAATAAGTAAATATGGTCTGAAATGTTAATATCGTACAGGTAATTAGATGCAACACCATAATGAACCGGTCCATTTCCATCTGAAACAAAAATTGTATATAAAATATGCCATGATAAAATAAATGTTCAGATGTGCCTTGTGTTCTGTACTGCACTACAGCAACGGTCAAATGAATTTGATTGGAGTAGAGAGAAGGAGCAGACGATATGCTATAGAATCTTGGTTGGAGGGGTGTCAGTTGTGCCACTAGCAGAGCCGGAAGAATGCGTACTGAAGGAAATTCCTGCAAGACTTCCAAGAGATTCGGGAACCTCCAATGCCGCCAATCTTCATAAGCCGCTGAATCCTGTAAATTTAAACAATTTAAAATACTTAATTTAGGCCGTGAATCTCAATGAAAATTCACCGTTGCAAGATGAGTAAGTTTTTCTTGGTCTTTTTCATCTGTAGCACATGAGGCAAAGAACTGCAGCATGTTGGGAGAAGGTGGTGTTGTAACATCGAGAAATCTTGTAAGCAAAGTTCTGAGCGAACACGTTGGAAGCCTTTCATGCGGCACCCAATTCCTTGTTATTCCTTATAAACACAAATTTATTTATTCTTAATCAAAATCATCAATTTTCATTATATTTCAATATTTATTGAACATAAACGTATATTAACCATCTGGTGTATGTGTTTCTTTCAGCATTTGAAGTTGAATAGGCCGATCTGGATCTATGGGACATTCCAAATGTGAAATTATCCCTTCAACTAGTTCAGTCCTGTTGCAAGCTAGAATTCCGACGTGGTCGCCCGGCTCATATTTTATATGCTCTGTTTGCCCAATTTCAAGTAAAAGGGTTGCTCTTGATGATCCTTTTCCATGAAGGTTCCTTTTTCCAATCAACGGACACCTTTCAACTTTCTTATTATTACTTTTTGCTAGAGCTAAAAGCATATTTGTTTAATATATTATTCTAAACATTGAATGTTTTAATGGAATGATTTCAAATACCTTTGCATAAATCATCTGGTATGGATTCAACAAATCTAACAGTTGCTGCTGTTATCGCTTCGGAATGTAAAACTTGTGTGGCCTCTAGGAATGTCTCATCATTGTCAAGACAAAAAGTATCACAAGCCACCTGAAACAGACAAACAATTTTGTATACTTACAACTTACAAAAAAAAAAAAAAAAAAAAAAAAAATCTCATACGGAAAAAACATCAGGGGCCCATTTCTTAAAGGCCTGCTCTTGACCGCACATTTCATCTCCTGTTGTAAGTTTCATGAGCCTCTCGCCACCGAGTTCACCCAATAAATTATCAACGTACGATCCAAATGCGCAAAAATTTGGGTAGGCACTAGAACCAAGGGCAAACACGGCGAACCTATAAAAAAAAACATAGTCAAAAATTCTTCGGTAAGTTTCAAATTAATCATTTTACCTCACGTTGCTAAGAGGTCCAAACATATCCGCATCTGTGACAGAGCCTCTAAACGAATCACACCGTTCTAGCGAAGTTTGGTGGTCAATCTGACTGTTCGCTTTGATGAATGACGCTGAGCTTGCTAGGCTATTGAGTAAATAACCACAAATTAACTAAGTATTGCAGGAGTACTTTAAAACCGAAAGATTATAAAGTTTCAGTTCAACAAGATTAGGCATGACAAGAAACTCAACAAAAACTAACATATAAATACTATATAGTATTAAAAGGAGGGCCACACAAACAAATAAATTATACGAAAAATGGAAATGTTGGCAAATAATTGAATATGGAATGATGGAAATCACAACATTGAAATATTGACCTGAAATAATACAGTACTTATATTATAGAACTAGTCCATACATAACGATGAAAGGAAAATTTAAAAAGAGGGAGAATGGTTTACTGCATATGAAAAAATGAAAAATAAAAGTGTCTTATGAGGTAATATATTTTTAAAATGTATCAATAAAACATTACAAGGCAAGTATTTAAAAATATATAATAGCGTGTACAGGTAATAAAACATGCCAAAAGAAAAATAAATAAATTTAAAAAAATTACACTGAAGTGGAATAATGTACCTGGAGGTGTTGTTTCCATTAGTCATTCCTGATTCATCCATTTTTATGGTGTATAAACTTTGCGCAAAGCCCTGAAATTAAGTTAAGTTTCTAAAAAAGTTAAAGAAAATTTTTTATAAATATATAGTTTTAAATTGAATTTTGATGAACCTGTCCATTTTCGGGAGGATCACCATTTCCAAATGTTGAGGCGACAACCAACAGTAAAGCTTCATGCTCAATTTTGCTCATATCATATTCTTCCATTGATAGTACCTATGTAATTAAACGATAAGTAAATTTTAACAATTGGATCATTTATTTTAATTTATATAGAAATGTTTCTCACTTGTGAATGAAAAACATGGCCAAAGATTTCGCCAAGTTTTTTTGCATACATTTCAGACTTTCCTGTCTCTGTAGCAAATAGAATGGTTGCTTTTATTCGTTTTGATAACGCGTTGCCAAACAATTTTGATGTAAATTTTACTGCCCTGAAAATGACACAAATGATTAACTGAAGTAAATTGACCTGTTCATAAATTTAAACAATAAAATCATACCTTGCAATTTGTTTAAAATGGAATTTTCTTCTTTCCCTTTTTCCTCCAAGTCCTCCACAAATGTCTTTCCACTCGTGCGAGATCCAGGCAGGTTCCTAGCAAATGAAGGTTTAGCAAAAATATGAATTTTATCTTTCTAATATTCAGTATATTTTTTTACTTGATATAAGTAGGCGGGGTAAATAATGTAGTTGACCATTTCTTGATGAAAAACAGGAGTTATTGAACCGGATATTGGAGGTACAATCCATCCCCAGTCGGCCGGACAGCCACCTCTAAGCCTCTGTTCATTTTCTAAATGCTTCATGAAAGACTCTGATGCTGAATGATGGTCCACTATTGTCACATTGTGCACCTAAATAATACAATTGTCATTAATATTGTTGTGAATAGACAAGGTAAAATTATAATTACTTGAAAACTGTGAAGGACAGCTACGTTGGCCTCAACAAATGCCCTGTCTTTCCAAAGTGTCACTGAAGACCTGGTGTCGAGTTCCATTTTTTGGGCGATTGTCTAAAGATAATTTTTTTTAGCAATGATACGAGTTTATATTCAGTTACTTCAACATTACCTCGAGCATATTGTATCGTTGCACATCACACAGATCCCTGCCACCTATTTCCGAGCTCATATACCATCCATTGAAGGGTGCAGCTGTAAATTGGAGTCCTCCGCAGTCAAACATCATGCTCGAAACAGCAGGCAGAGAGTACCATTTCAGACCGAGTTCTCCGAACCAGTCATAGCTGGAAGAAAAGAATTACTTAAAACTACAATGTTTATTTAAATTTGAATTAGTTTACTTTGGATGGGTGAGAGGAACTTCAAGAACAAGCTCAGGCGGTAGATCAAAATAGTCAGGGTCGTCCCCGTTGGTCGATAGAACCAAAGGTAAAATGTCAAATCTGGTCCCTTTGCCCTTCCAACCAAGTTTTGTACATAACTATAAAAACAATACAAAAAACAATAAAATAAAGTACAAACTGTGACATTAACTTATTAATTTAATGCAAATACTTCTGTGAATTCAACTTGTGCTGGATCGCCGACAATCCCTTTATCTTTTACATAACCAGCATATGATATTAGTTGGGTGTTCCATATCCTAAAATCGTGCTTGGGGTCTGTTTTGTGTGGGAAGACAGTGATTGCAGCTCTAAAATTTAATTTGGTTTTTCCATTAGAAAAAATAATTCTGTGATAAAAATATTTGGGAATATTTACTTATTATGTGTTAACACTTAGTTAACTTGTGTACAGTTATAAAATGATGTACTTTGTCGTTAAGTTAGCAAAGTTTCCTTTTGACCAATCAGTGTAATTAAACTTGAAGTGACATCCTCACAATCAAGAAGTTTACTCATTTCACACTTTGACTATTATATAAAGCAACAAGTTTAGCATGCTTAATAGAAACCACAAACAAAACTTTTTCTTGTATTTTGTTCAAATAACAAGTTTTTTCCTTGTGATCCATTTCATGTTTGATTTATTTTGAACACCTTCAAAATTGTGCAATTATTTACTTGTTCTAGAATTGAATTAATTTCATTTTTTCAAATGTAAAAATTGTTGTATATTTAACAAAAACAATATTGTTGATATTTTTAATAATTATCCTTTACATTTTGATATGTTTTTGAAAGAAATGCAATTTTAAGGATTTAATAAAGCTATCATCCTGTGCCGAGCTGGTCAGGGAACATCTCTTTCCTCTTATATTCCAGTATAATTTGGAGTCCTTCAAGGAAGTATCCTTGGCCAAATCCTTTTTACAATTTGTTCTGATGACCAAACAGTCATTTTCATGATTTCCAAATACATGACTATCCTCTCTTCTCACTCTAACCCATCCATTTTTAAGGTATATCATGGGATTTCTTTGGAGTTTAATTGCATTCATTATTGCATTAGGTGTGCTAATTATCATGAATTTGGCCATTTTTGGTAGCTAGGCGTTGTGGTATTTATGTTGAGTGTTTCTCCATTGGTTTTGGAAAAGCCTTATGGTGTAAAGTAGATTGTCATGGTACAGAATTTGTTATTGCTATAATCCCCATATGGGGGTATGTAAAAATGTTCGATGAATGAGGTGCTCCTATAGTGCCATCGCGTCATCCTTTGCGTTTAACAAAAAGACAATAAGTCAACATGCCACAGTGGTTATAGCTGGGCCAATAGCCAATTTTTTGTTGGTAATTTTTGCTTGTTGGTTAGTTTTTATTATTGGTGCGCCCTGTCATTGAAGTTCAGTTCAACATTCAGTTAAACTCGATTGCTGAGCAAGCAAATATTTCACCAGGTATGGAACTAAAATCCATAAATGGTATCAAAACCCCTGACTGGAACTCTATTTGTCTTGCCTTAATTAGTAAAATGCAAGCTCTATCTGCAGTCACCTAACCCTATTCAGAGACTGGTACCACAAGTGCATAATCAAATTGAATGAAAGCAAATGGGTTTGTCACTTTCAACTAAGAAAGTCACTGTGCTATACATTACAGCTGAATGACATATTTACCGACTTGATTGATACTAACTGCTGACATAATACGATACCTGGAAATGAATATTGATAAAATACTGAGGTGAAATCCACACACTCACCTGAAATGACATACATGAACTACCTTTACAAACTCTTGCTGAGACCCTCTAAACATTAACAATAAACACCTTTTGCAAACCCTAATTCATAAGAAATGGACCTATGGAGTGGAAGTTTGGGGCGTAATCAAACATTCCAATTCATCCTGTATCCAGGCTTGGCAATCCAAAGTCCTAAGAATGCTCCCTTCTAAGTCTCCAATAAAACCATCCACACTGATCTTCGTGTTCCATTTGTTCACGACCTTGTTAACATAAATTCCACAATGCCCAAACTCAAACCCCCTCATCCAACAACCTTCTACAATAACTCTACCTGGAAATCCTCTATGTCGGCTGAGAGGCATTGGCCAAGGGATTTGCTTCAGTGATGTGCAGTGGGAGGGTGTGTCAACAGTGGGTGGCTTCTTCATGTTTAATTTTATCATGTTATACTTTGTAAATTTCCAAATTTACATATTGTAAATTGTATTTACTTATTGTAAGTTGTAGGTTATATAATAACAATACAAAAAAAAGATCATGTCTTATATGAGTCATAGAACTCTGTGAGCATCATGTGCCTTTGTCTCAGGTATCCTGGTTTATTTATATGTTATTACACTGGTGTGAAATTTTTAATTTGTATGTTCATTTAATTAATTATTTTTAAATAATTTAATGTGTTAATTTGTATTATTTAGATTTAGAAGCAATGAAATCTTGCGATTCATTTTTTACCTATTCTCTTTGATGCATATGAGCTCACAAATCAGTATAGAACTGTGCAGACATGTTATGTACTTTATTCAAAATTTATCTCAGTAGGAACGGCTGATTCAGCCAATCCCTTGGGGTTAAAAGGAAATTGAGATGACTAAGATTTTTTTTTAAATTCTACATATCCGTACCTTATGTTTCCTTTGTTTGTACTGTATTTAATATGGTTGCATAGCGCTTCGAACATACCACTGGTGGTCGTAACTGATCGGCAGTCGAAAACCTGTAAAGTATAAATTCATAAAATTTCGTCGAGTCGATCATTTTGTCAATACCTGAAGCTTGGCCCATTGGATCCTGCCTATGCACCTCGGGGCATTTCTCCAAGCCAACTTGGCACCATATACCAGCTCTGTTTCCGTCAGATCGTAGGTTCCGGTCGTCGCAATTTCCTTTTCTACCTGGGCCCACCTCGCCTCGTGAGCTGGACTCTGCATCCTAAAACCAAACCCCATGATTTATCAATGAATATTAAAGACAATAAAAGCACAGTGGTGCTGGATTTCCCTGTATAATTGTTGGAGTTAAGTAAAATTGAACAAACCCAATAAAAATAGTTTAAATTCGGCAATTTTTCTGGAATTAAACGAATCTTATTTGTTTAATATATATGACCCGCGGCAAACGTTTGCTTAATAAAAGGGAAAAGGCGTGAACCTAATATAAAGTTAAGTCGATGAAAGTATGTGTTTGGTTTGCAAAAGTAACTTTTCTAATTATACCTACTTCCCAGAGTTTCATCTTATGTGTGAGCCCATTTTCACTTTGTGTTTCACACTGTTCTAAAAGATTTGTTTCCTTTTTGAAGCTTGCGAGGTGCTGAACTAGTTTGATCGTTTCCGGTCGTGGCTTTGACATCTCAGTCGTGCATTTTGCTGTATTCAATGCTTGTTCTTTGTGATATTTTGTTAATAGTGCGCATTAATTAAAGGCAAACCCACAATCGAAAGCAGCGAGTTTTGTAGGATGACTAGAATGATCATAAACTATGAAATTACAGGTTCATCCCCTAACGGATATCAACAAGCGATCATTAATAATATCATAATAATCATTAAAATTAAAATCTGCATTTGGTCGTTTCCGATCGTTTTAGCAAGTTTATTCTTGCTATTTTGGTCTGTCAGACGCGTTTCGCCATCTTCAGCGTTGGTTTGTCCAAAAGATCAGCTAAAAATCCAACATTTTGGACAAATTAGTCAAGCATCAGGATCACATATGATCTGGTCTTTACGTAATACTTCTGGCTTTGTATCGTTTTGTCAGCACGGTCTGATGGATGTTTCTTTAAACCCCACAATTTAAAATGCCGAAATTCGTCTGACAGACCAAAACAGCAAGGGTACCCCCAAAAGAAAAATCACCAATTTTCCATCAGTCTTCAACTTAGAGAATGTTCTCGATGGAGGACCATGTTGACGGTCTAGTCTCGTATGTTTTGTCTGCGAACCGTTGATAAAATACGCACAAACGCACTTCTGAAGACCGAAATAGTCCGTGATGTCGTGTTGATGACTGTTAGGTGATGAATGTTTTCTATCATCCTGGTTTTACCTTATGTTCTTAGGTCTTTCAGACGAGTTTCGTTTGAATTCCCTTTATTCCAGGTTTTGTTTGTTTCGTCCATCGAGTTCACCAAGCTGTTCATCACTGAACTGACTTCAACAAGGGATCTCGAAAAGTGTTTTCTTCTTGTGTGAATGTTCTCGGCAGAACAGGCCATGTCTAGTCTTGCTGACTTCTGAAGACCAAAGCGGCCAGAGGTTCTTTTTGATGTCTGTTCCTATCAATTCAATGAACGTTTCCTATCATCCTAATTTTATCTTCGTAGCTTTGGTCTTTCACGCATGATTCATCTGGGTTTACCCATATTCTATAGATGGGCTGTGGGTTATTTCGTCAATTGTGTCCATCTCTAAGATCAGAGATGATCAAGGTGAGGTATATCATCGAATTTAACAAGGAATCGAGAAAAGTGAGCAAAATAGAACACGAAAATACCTCTGAAAGCCGAAGCAGGAAGAATAGGCAAACTGTGTTGATCGGAATCGACCAAGCTTGACATTCTTCTAATTTATTACATTGTAATATTAAACTATTTAAATGAGTTATTGGTTTTTGGTCTAAACTATCCGTTTTGGTTTGATACCATTTTGTTCCTCTTCGCCAATGACATGAAGTTTCTTTTATGAGTGCCCATGATGTATAATGGATATGGTAAGGTGTTAGAGGAAAAACCACCGTCCAATTTTCGATGATATCTGGTATAATGATAAATAGATCAATGCGGGCGTTAAAATCGAGTTAAATGATGTAACTGCAGGGGCAGGGTTTTCAGACAAATACGATACATCACTGAGTGACAAGCGTATACATCGAAAAACACGCACTCCCGGGATAAACAACAAACCATTTTTTTATGCGTTTCAACGACAGTATTTTTGTGTGCAAAAACAACGGAGGAGAGGACCGAGCCAGGGCGAATTCAATTATTTATTATTTTCTATTTACAAACTCAATTTTAAGGAGTGTCGTCTACTTTACAAATATATTACACACGCCTTGGCAGTTTTATTAAACAGATATTTGTCGCGTGGAGATTTAATGGACAAATGACATAATTATGTTTTGAGTAGGCAAAAAACGTATATTTTTTTGTTTAATGTCTGCTGAATTGAAATTCCCAACGACAAAATTCAAAATCGACCAAACAAGCAATTTTCAGAGGCCTCGACCAAATAATAGTAACTTTCTCGTTGTACAAAAATAGGTTTGCACGGTCGTCCCGAGGTCGTTTACAGTTCATCTCGTACTCTGGTCGAATTTTAACAACAATCTAAACTTTATTATCACTCGAACAGTTGCTATGAAGGCTTCATCGATGCCAAAAAGAACCATTCTTCTTGTACCCTTCTATCACAAGTCCATATGGAGGTCCTCCTCTTGGACTATGTAGCTACGACGTGTAAATAAACTTCAAATCACGCAAATCTCTGTAGAACATCAAAATGAAGATAAATTTAACCATCCTTCAGCGCTGTCATTAAAGATAAGGTATCATATTCTATATTAAATTAATCTACTGATTTACAAGATTTTTGGCTACCCTCCACTAACGTCCATGAGACTCAGGATGTACTCAAACATCGTTATTTGTTATTGTTGTTGTTAATACGCTATTGCTATTGTTAACCTAGTTTGGACGTTTCCAATTGTTTTGATCTGCTTATCTTCGTCCTCATTGGTTTGGTCTGTCGGACGTATTTCGGCTTTTAGCTTTATTCAGTGATGTGTAGCTCAAGACACCGAGTTAATAAATTATCATCACTGAAGCCATTGCAATGAAGTCACTTCTGGTTTCTTCGTCAACTAAGAAATCCTTTTACGTTTCTTTCACAAGCCTTTACCTTCCTTCACAAGGTCACTATCTTGTGCTATACAGCAAGACATGCAAATAAATTTCAAATTCCGCTGAACAAACTGGTCATGCTTGATCTGTAAACTGAAGAAGCAGAAATTGACTTATCGTCATAAAAACTCTTGGCACAAACCTACCTATTCAAATGCTAATAAGTCTCATAAAACACTTTGAATGTAATTACAGAACAGTAATTCAATGCTAGCAACTCTGATAAAGTGCAACATCTAGGCGCTTCAAAAGATACTTTTAAAGCTTTTGAAAGTCGATTTACGGGGGGGGGGATCGGAGGAAGAGTCGATGGTTAATAGAAAAGCCAGTTTAAAAGTAAATTAAATGTAATCATTATTTGTTTTTCAAATCGCCCTCTTTGCTCATAAATTTCTGTAAAAAGTTCTGACGTATGTTTTTCGTTTAAACTGCTACTTACTTGGATACTTTTCTGCTTAATTCTGCGTTACAACGGTCCTGAATTACTTTTTTATAATTGATGCTGTACATTTGTGTTGCTGTACATGCTATTTACGTTTATGGCCTATTATAATCACAGGGTAAAATTTCCGTACTCCTTTGGAAAGTCGGACCAAGTTTTCCGTTTAAACTGCTCGGGAGTGGAGGCGGTTCCGATCCTATGCCCATCCACCTGCATGAGGATTTCTTTAAATGCAAATATTAAATCTGGAAGTTGCCGTATTGTGACCCCTCGAGTGGCAATCTCCTCGACAATAATACCATCAAGGAGGGCAAAATTGAATTTAGACCCTTGATGGTACTTACACATATAAAAATTCAACGGTTGAAAATATGCCGTCACGTCTATAATATTTGATAACTTGGCTTGTAAAATTTCTGCCATTACCAATCAACACTACTGAGGAGCCGTGGGAAAAAAATCGCAAGGGACCCTGAAAATAAAGGCGTGGTGAAAATAACTTCAAAGGCAAATCTCTTCCCATTTTAAGCTTTTATTTTTAACATCGGTTTCCTTTTTTTAATCCACCGCCCACTTTTCTTAAGGTCCTCGTTCTTTTTGAATCTCACGTTTAAATCCTATCGATACACTTTTTTACATTATTTATTGGAAAATTTATCTTATTGACATGTATCTTCGTGTAACTATAAAATGTAGGGTTGATGGGCTGTAGTAAATGTCGCAATTTTTCTTTCTTAAAGTACAAGCGAAACAGAGCCGAAAAGATTCAACAAAAGTAAATAGCTATGACATATCATATACATGGGTGTCCTTTGTGACAAGAGCGATAATTCACCAAAAAGACCTTGGTCACTAACCACCAAAGGACTTAGTGAAAGGATCTCTTACTTGGCGAAGAAATAGAGAGAGAATGACTTCAAAGCAAACCTATTTTTGTAGAATGTGTTAATAAGCAAACAAGCAAACTACGAGAAAGTTCAAAATATTTAACATTAAATGTACTTCATTGTTAATTTTAAATAGAATAATAGTTGAGTAAGTACTACTTGCACAATAATATTATTGTAAATTTTAAAATTATTTTGTTAAATGTAAATTTGTTAAACTCAAGCCCTGATAATGGTGTGATATGAATTGAAAGGTTAGCAACACCTTGTAGGAGAAGGTATCAATTGACCTCTTTGATCCTCTTCAACATAATTAAAAATAAAGTTTTGAACAGGAAATTCGACCATGGGATACCTCGGTACTTATCAAGTGAAGTATCAAGGTGAATTGTAAATGACGTCGGGATGACCACTTCTATTCTTCTTCCTTTGAAGTGGCGAACCAGAATAAAAAAGATTAATATTTATCCTTTAGTTATTCTGCTTAAAGTAGCCTGCTGGTTTTATATTTTGGACATCCTTCAGCACCTCGCCTTTTCCATCCATGGTCGATCTGTGTGTAGTTTCGTCAGTCGTGCCCGCTTATAATTAGGTATACTGAATGAAACAACAAATTATTAACAATCCACCTCTAAGTTGTATTAACCAATGTTTGCTTATTAACACAAACGAGACAGAATTGAAAGGATTTATCTTCATC